GAAACACTTCCCAGCGCGCCTCATCTCAAATAGGGGCAATTTGGAGTGCCCGCTCTCCCTTCTGTGATTTTTTCTATTGGGTTTTGTTGAAATCCCGGCTTTATTTGAACCATAAAAGACCCTGTAACGGGACGTCATCTATCTGATTTGATCTTCACAACTATGTAAAACAAAACTTTAGGTATGCGCCTATATTATGAAAAACAAATAAAAATGTTCTGATTCATACAATGGGCTTTGCGTAGTTTTGAAAAAAGGAAGTTATGCTACCGTACCCTGTATTGTATACACGCATATATAGAAAATGCTGGAGTGCATCGGGAAATGTCGGTTCACCAGATAAATATCCGACCAAATGGCGGAAGCAGTCAGTGGACCGTGAGCGCGGAATTGAGACGCGGTAATAGTTCAGTTGACAAGGTTATAAATTTTTCATCAAAGAGTTGCAATTAGTGTATAGTGATAAATTATATTTTGAACAGTAAGAATAGTGTATGCAGTTTATCTTCATAAATGATATGTGAACTTTTCCACTTAAATTTCAAGAAAATTTTTCTTTCTAATCATAGACAAGGGTAAACAAGCACAACTGAATGGGAAACAGAATGCAGTAGAGATGGGAAATGCAAAATTTAAAGCAAGCTGTATGTATGTTTACTTATGAATACGATTCTGACGCATTTAAAAATGTATCTAAGACTCCAATTAACGGAAAATAGCTTGAGTATATTTATAAAAAATATATCAAGGAATAAAAACAGCTTCATATTTCGCAATTTTTCTTCACATATCTGTTATTACTACCATACATCAAAACAAAAAACAACAGTATGCTGTTTCATTAAAATTAGAACAATTATCTGTAATTATGAGTTAAATATGAGCTTGTAAGATTCTATGAGTCAGCATACACACAACCATAAAATTATTGCACTAAATAAAATTATAATAAAATTTGAATCTGGCTGATGGAAATTACAATTTTAAAACTAAAAATACGCTATTTTTAAAAAAAAGCCCATCTCTATATTGTTAGGAATGCTGTAGACAAACATTAAAAATAAATTTGAATTAGTTCCAAGTATATTTTTGTAACAAAACACACTTAAAAATTAATAAGTCTACCTCAATCACAACGTAAACAGCAAAAACACAAATATCTTGGCGTAGGATGTCCCGATTCGCGATTTCGATCTGAATCGTGAAAGAAATATAAGAATAGAAATTGTCAATTAGAACTGTTTCATTACAAAGAAACATAATAATGACGCGATCACTGATTAACGTATTTTACCTGAAGGTAGTAGTAGTAGTAGTATTATATTGCTCAAACACAGATCTAATGCCCGTATGCACCGCATATTGATAAGGTCGGTTTAAACTTTAAGCAGGTTCAGGTTTCTAGTTTTGTATGAATCCTATCCTCTACAGCACTAACCTACGCTTAACGCTAACCCTGTCATTTGAGCGGCTTAGTAAATTTGAGCTCGGGTTTAAGTACGTCGCTTTGTGAGGTTAGAGTAAACATCACAAGTCAGTTTTTCGGTAGTAAAGTGCGCACATCACTCATTTGTAGTATGTAATATGTAGTATGTAATTTTGTTAATGAAATTTTAATGTTATAAAGGTTGAAATAAACTTTCCTCAGGAAGGAACATTTACAACCTATCTCACATAAGTAATTTATAGAAACTGCATAAACATGGAAGCAGTTGCTCTCCACACAAAGTAATAATCCTTCTGGAACGTCAAAAATGTGCTTCTCTTCCCGAGTTCAAAACCTTGGGAATACGAATTCTGCCACTTGCCATTCTCATGGTACACTGTTTGTTTACTTTATTGGCAGAATGTATATTTTTCATGGTAAATAATAATGATAATAATGTTTATTTGTAAAATACAATTAGTCTTGAACAAAACAAATAAACATGGAGTACCCGCAGAAGGCAGTTGTCTTGTATCCTAGGGTCTATTATAATAACTACAATAGTCGCAGAAAACGTGGTTAGAAATTAGTCAGCTGTCATAAAGTGTCATTACATGACTGTAATAATTTAGCCGTTCTAAAAATAAAGTTTTACAGTATTCCAGAGTAAAATTTCAGCTGGAAATCTACATTCCATTACTCTGTACGGTATTACATTGCCAAGTGATTTACAAACGCACCTCTGCGTGACACACCTGACACATGTCAACCTCAAGTAGCATGAAGCATGGAGAAACATTGAAGTTGATTAATAAATCGCGGTGTTGTCAAGTGTATCACGGGTCGTGATCACCCGCTTACCTATACCTAGTTTTAGCTTTTACGGTACATAGCTTGCAATATTCAGCTGAGATTGATTATTGAGCTGAGCCTTCGTTAGACGAAGAACGGGGTGCATACAGGTATAAAAGATCCTAGCGCTAATATTGATACACTAGCAGAACACAAAAATGCTCTGCTACTGTCTATAGATTAGAGAGGTGCCAAAAAGGGATATGAACATCTTAGCACCACCTATGTGACAGTAGCGGAACTAAATTCTCTTTATTCCTTTTCGAAGTAGTTTTCTAAATTCTTTTGCGTGTTCCGTTATTGTCTCATCCAAGTAGCACCGAACGGGTTTATCAAGTATTTAAAGGATGTGTTAAAACTGTGAAATAAAATTGCAATTAAAGCCAATCTGTTTTTGAATGAACCTTGAAGTTCTAATAAACTCGCCTCCAGCATAAAAGGGTCCACCCTGAAAGTGGTCAATAAAACTAAAAATAAAAACCTTCATAAAACTTTACTATCTTGAACAACTATTTTCAAAAGTGCGGTGAAGAATCTTTTAAAACCAGTTTGAATACATTTTAAACACACGCAGTTTTAAAGTAAACTAAAACGTGTTTATTAAATGTGGACTTTGAAGTTAATTTACCTTATTATTATTATATTAACGTTAAATAGAAATGGTTATTGAAGACTATATACTCATTTCTTATTACATGAAAGCAGCTTAGAGATAATAGTACTAGTCTGACAAGGTAGAAAAATACTCGCGCACCCGACTTTATCGATAAATTTTAACAAAAAAGGTTTTAAAACCACAGGAGCCTCAAAATTACTGAAGTTTTACAATTAGAAAAAATAACAAAAACATTTTGAAAACACCAAAAACATCAGTTCGAAATAAGGATGATTTTATCAATAATTTTAAATTTTTTAGTTGTAATAAATCGGAGTTACTCCCTAAAGTTATTAATTTATCATTTTAATGTATGACTCAATAATGTTATCCATCATGGCTTCCAGCATCTCGATGGCGCAAAATGGTCAAAAGTTGAACAAAACCATTTAGACAATCGACAGAGAGACGTTAGGGACAAAGTGTTTTATTTAAACCGTTGCAAGAGCACATATCCTATTGCAATCAAAACCCTAAAATAATCGACGAGTGCTTCTTTCTTCCATAATAAGTGTACCTTCTGTTTTTCTAATTGTTTTGAAGTAAACAATTGCTCAAATTAACAATAGCCTACGTCACTGTTTCACTTGAAACAAAATGCGGTGTTCATATTGGACATGAAAGAGAAGAGAAGAAGAGGGGATGAGTTTAGTTTTATAGTATCTAACCAGAATTATAGTTAGTCTCTACGATAACCAAATTCGTTAAGAACATTTAGTTTTAATAAAGCATGCTAAAATTTAAGAAAGCAGTTATAAAGAAAGCTGCAAAAATGGGCTTAAGACATATTATTTACTGTCAAACTCGTCGTAAAATCAAGTAGATTTTATAATAGGTTTTATTACTTACAATAGAAGAATCTTTAAAAAGCTACGTCACATACTAGAACGTCGTAAAACTGAACAGCCCGCAAGTTCTTCAGAAATTTGAATAGTTTTGAAGTTAATTGATACTAAACCATTTTAAAAATACAATAAGGGAAATTAACTTTTAAGATTAATTAATCCTATTTGATAATCTGATTAGTTTCTTTAAGACCAGTATTAAATGCTAAGCAGTTTACAAGATCTAACAGTATATCTACAAGATAATTTTGAAACCATTATCTTATTTTATCATAATAAAATCGTTATAAACCTCGAATAAATTTAAAATGTCTTTACAGTGCTTCTTGGGCATAGATGCTGCTGGGATTTTCCAGGTTCCTTTTTACACACCAAAATAGTGTATATGGATGGATTTCATCAGGTAGTATACATTAATGTATTGAAAGCTAAAAAATAATCAGATAAGTGCCAGATGTCAGCACTCTCCTCGATAATCTATGGCATTGATAAGACTAAAATAAAATTGTAGGGAGCGTCAAATTATTATCTACAGTCAATCACTCATAGCTTTATATGCATTGGATGTATCTTCTCAATAGATAACATATCCAAATTGCGCGTAAAGGTAAATTCGCCGATATCACAGAACAACATTCATTTATATATTCAATCACGATTTTACTTTGATCAATGCCCAAACTTGATTAGGAAAGTGCTGTGATAATAAGAGCACATTATTTTTTCTTCACAATGAAACTGTTTGACCTAAACACATGTTTTTACTATTTTATTTTCAAGATTAATTTCCGCAATTTTGTTTCGGTCGCCACTGTAGGTTAGTTTTTTTTGAGGTGTGTTAAACATGTCAATCGATTTCATTTGAGAATGTTGTACAAATATGTAACCCGCCATTTTGTGACGGCAACGAACTTGCACTTGATACTGAATATACAGAGCTATCATCAGGTGTGTAACAAATCTTGGACCAATCTGTCAACACAAAGGATGATCAAATTTCGATTAATCGATTTGACACACACATTTGATTGTTTGCTTTGGTGAATCAGGACATCCCTGCCAAGACCCATGCTCTAACCACTACCCCAGTCCACCCCATATTGATCCCTCATTCGTCATAATCGTTCCCGCTAGACGGCGCCACTTCTTCTGCCGTCCCTTTATCGCCTTCCCCTTGGGGAGATGCCCCACTGTCCCCTAATAGGCCCCCGTTATTGCGTACCTCCATGTCCAGATCATCATCGTCCACAGCGGCGGCCGCTGCCACTGCCCCTGAAAGCGCCGCCCCTGGTGCCCCCGGTTTGATGCGCTGATGGGATTTTCTGGGGTCGAAAGGGTCCACCACTATCTGTTCGGTGCCTTTGATCTCGGCGCGGCAGAACGGACAGCCTTGGCTTCCTTGCCCTTCGGAACCCTGGAACAGAATTAGAAATATTGTTCTAGTTAGTTCGTGAACGAAAGAGTTCAAATAAATGGTTCTTATGACTGAACTGAGTGAACTAGATCATCATTCGTCGAAAAACTAGTTCACCATGAACAACTCGATGATCCCAGCGAATTAGTTGTAAGTGAATAACGTGAACGAGATAGAAGACGAGACCCCATCGTAGGCAACCAAGTAAGCAGAAGGTTGTATAGCTGACTGCCTGGGTACAATATGGTTTAGGATATCGAACAGAACAAAATGAAGTCATTAAAAATGATGATAAAAAAATATTGTTTTGAAGGCTGAAAGAAATAAAAATTGGCTAATTTTCATGCAACATAGCACTTATTGAGGCTAATGAAGAAATTAAAACAATACTGAAATGAAAATGTAAATTAAATACAAATTTTCATTTAAAACAACTGTTTTTTGAACTTTATTGGCTTCTAGTCTATTCCCTTTTCCTGACAAGAATTGTCAGCCTTTTTAACCATCCTAAATAGTTTGTCGTTCTTTTCATTCGATCTTTATATAATATCTTTAATATAGAATTTTGAGGAGGAATACAAAGGGAATTCCCGATAAGTTAATTTAAACGTTTTTATTAGTAAGTGTTCACTCCTTTTTTGATCGAAATTTTTTTTTAAATTCCCGCCATCCACACAAAAACCAACATATTTAAAATCTCCTACATGGCTCTTTAGCTTGTAGATGTGGTCTTAAAAATTCGAGCTCTTTTGGCCATTTTATACTTCAATGTGTAGGTTGGCTCTTATTGGGGACTTCATGTTTCATTTTTTCTATCTCCATCTTCATTTGCTCAGGTTACACCCCTATCTGGATGTATGGACATGTGTATCTGTGCAGAAATACGTATTGCTCGGGTTACCTATCCTATTTTCTGCTCGAATTCACTTTCCTTCTTTTTACTGATTTTGCACATTATTTTTCTATTTGTTATATACCTTTGTCCGCATCATTATTTTCTCTCTCTATCTCTCTCTCTCTCTCTCTCTCTATATATATATATAACAAATTACTTTTATAGAGCTTCTCATAATCTTAGTACATATTCCAAAAAGATAGTTTATTAGAATTATTCTACTATAGTCAAAATCACGAAAGATGACTTTTATGTCATACCCTAAATTGCTCCTAAGTAATCAATGGACGTACGTCGATGATAAAATCATGATGTCAGGAACACAATGACAACAAACGTATATTATGATTTTGGGAAGTTACCTTAATAATAACTTTAGTGGCGAGTTTTTGTTTTGAAAAAAACAATTATGAGTAGAATACCTTAAGACATTAACACCAAAGACCAAAGTATTATTCGAAAACAACATAACCTGCTTTAACATAACCTAACTATTCATCCTTCAAATACGATCGATCATGCAACATGAAAACATCGTCTATCTTTGTCGGATACATGCAAATTAGCAATACAGTTTGTTTAGACAATAAAATTCTGTTTGTCTCTGTTTAACATATCAGAAACTTTATTAAATATGTTCACAAATCGCTGTCGTTTGTCTTTACTACAGACTAAAATGATGACTAATCGTCATCTTTCGTGATTTCGACTATACACATATATACATTTACTATATTGTTCAACTGTCTTGTTCACTGCCAATGAAGCTGTATTCCCAAAATTACAAGTTCTACAAAATAAAGCCATGAGAATAATATTAAATAAAAATAAGCTCATCAGAATAAAATCTATGTTACAGGAACTGCAGTGGTTGGATATAAAAAATCATATTTAGTTCTTATTTTTTCATTTAAAATAAATCATTTTGTGCCACAACATTTAGAACATTACATCGAATTTAATAATCATAACCACCATTATTATACAAGAGTGAATATAGCAATAGTAATATAACTAGCGAAGGAATTTCTTGAATTTACAAACTAAGTTTTGACATAAAGTCTAGTTGTAGTTTAAAGATGTTTAGAATTTAACAGAAATTAAACGAACATTTCATGGACAGTGAAAATTCTTAGATTCAAGTTTTGTTTTTCTAAATATTTGTATGCTATGTAACTGTTGTAGTTTTTTAAACAATGTAATTGTAGCAATCATGCTAAGGAAATCTTAAACAAACACATTTTAACGCTTTTCTTTGGTTTTATAAAATCACATATAACTGAAGATGGAGTTTAAAGTCGATGAAACATTGTAGTTTTAATAAGTGTTTTAAGTGACCGCATCTCAAGAATTTATACCTTGAACCGATACCTCAATGGTCGGGAATACAAAAGTGTGCAAAGTTACCGCTCAATAACTTTCTTCAATATTATCGTTTTACCTTTTCTTCCAAAAAATAACAAATAATCACTTTTTTATACCTTTACGTTGATGGTATCCGTTAAAAGTAAAACGGAGTCTGTTTTCCTTTATTTCTAAGGGTAATTTCTCCTATTCTAATTGAAAATACAGCAATTACGTTGGAAATTGTATGTATACACCTAAATTCAACATAAAAATGCCCATATTACTTACCGCTTGCCAGGCTGTCAGACAAGGTGTACAAAGCAGATGTCCACAGGGTTCTATCCGGACGTCCTTATCATTCTCAGCACATATCTTGCATAGCTGAAAAGTACTGCCCATCTCGCAGTACAACTCGTACTGTTCCTGGGTGACGGAGATGTGGTCTTCATGCGAAGGTTGCACTGCCCACGACAGATCAGGATTTACGGGCCGTCCATCAGGATACAGATAACTAAGTGCAACATCAACATTAGCATAGCTTCTAAAAGCAAATTCTCTTTACCACTTAGTGTAACAGAATTCCTATATTTTGCAAAGGTAGTCCAGGGTTTTTTATACACTATACAGTAAGAAAATCATTTATAATACAATTGCACTGGCACATAATTATAATCCACAAACAGGCGATGCCTTCTGTGGTTTTTTCTTATTTGTTTGCCCATTTTTTGTATTTTGGCGAGTAAATATTATTTTTATTATTACTATTATTATTATTGTATAACGCAAATGTTTTATATCCAGCTAATGATTCCGTTTTTCAAAGATTTCCGATTTTAAACAATAAACGTATGAGAATAATACTAAATAAAAATAAATATGCTCCGACCAATCAAATCAATACCGGTAGTATTACATGGACTCGACAAAAACCAACTTTGCGCAAGGGATATATCAAAGAAAGTATTTCGCATCTACACTAACAATATAATAAGGTAATCTTTGTGAGTTTATTTGTAGGAAGTCATATATGGGAACTACTGAACCGATCTTGAAAATTCTTTCAGCAGTAGAAAGCTACCTTATTCCTGAGTGACATTGGCTATACTTGATTGTGATTTTAATATTTTTAATGTAAATAATAATACCTGCTTAGAGCAGATAATAACTTAGGCCAAACTAACTCAGCGTATGGCGTGTACCAGTACTACAAGCGCAGCTCGGATAACACCACTGAGTGCAATGGAAGCTCTTCTGGATCTCCTACCGTTGGATCTAGTAATCTGCGGAGAGGTGGGAGTAGTCGCACATCGAATGTGGAGTCAGGGCAGATCGACCTTTATAAATCCTCTCAAGGATCACACTAACACCTTAGTCGGTTTGCACCGACTTCCATAAATATTCCACTTAGTAAAGTGGTAAGTTTAAGATACACCTTGGATTGAATTTATGTTGAACCGTCACATCTTGAACAGTGCATAGCTAAGCGAACTATTGACTTGGGAACCATGTATATTTTTAGGGATTTCTACTTTTGATAAAGAGATAAATTTATCTCAAATAAAAATTTTGGACGCTAAACGAAGTGGCCACGGCTAAGCTAGAATAGTAATGACACAGTAACAAATAATGTCAACTCACAATCCTTCCCTGTATCCGTCAAGCAACGCCTGTATGAGACTCTTGTTCTGGGGTATGGTTTGCAGTATCTCTCCATCACCTGTCACGTATCCAATTGCCCATTGGCCCAGTCTAGTGCAGGAAAGCCGGAACACATAGCTACCTGCTTTATTGGAATACCTGAAAGCATATTCATAGATAAATATGCTTCAATGTCTGAAGGATACAATCATTCTTAATGAACAATAAATCATAGACGGAGTCTTAGCGTTATTAGATACCCACAGCGATCTTTCTCACCGAAGGCAAATGGCAAACGCAGCCGATTTATGTAGCTCCAAAGTGGCTACAAATCTACTCTTTTAGAGTCGTCCGTTTAAGATGATTGTTTTAAAATGACTGACATATGCATGTTTTGTGTTCAGACGTAGTGTTTACTTATTTTTGCATATCTTTTATCTATTTGTACCATTAAATTTTTTTTATTCTTTTCCATTTATCTCTGACGTTAAGTAGTAAGGTAGCTGTGTGACAAAACTTCACCTCAATTCGAAGATACAAATAAATACATTTCTTATTATTATATGTATTTAAGTAAAAGTATTCACTGTAACAGCAAAGAGACGGCAATCAAGAATTCTAAGAACCAAGATATTCTATTTAGATTTCCCTTATTATTATTGATTATATTGGAAGTTTCAAATTCGACCCTCACCATTGGGATCTCAGAAGCTGTAAGAGATACGAATTAGCTTAAATGATACAAAGTTGCGTATTTAGGTAGCTAGCAAAATGCCACTTATAATTTAAAGTACTTCCGGAGAGAGACTGAAAACATTTTCCCAAAATCGTTTTTTTATCCTAAATCTATTTATAGTTAGAATTTCAAAATAAATTGCACATTACCATTATCACTTTTTCTCCATTACAACATGGCATAATTAGAATTTCAGTATGACGTTTCGTCTTTCGTCCTCCAGCATCAACTTCATTTTTTCTTATGGACGCCATATTAGATTTTTGCACATTTGAATATAGTTTTTAATTCTGATTCTAAAAATGTATATGACATACAATGACATTGCCAAATCTTAGCTATTTGCAGAAAACAAAATTTCCTAGGTACGCCTTGAAATTATCATTTCTTTCATATAACAGATTTCTGGCCATGCTTTATTTTTCCTGATTTTACTTGAGACCGGATTGCAAAGTAAATTACATGTTGTTATTGTCACTTTTTGTCCTCTACAAAAGTCAAATTTTCAATTCGAGGTTTCTTCTGTTGACTTCCATCACCAGCTTTGTTTTTTCATCTGGATGCTATAATGGGTTTTTGTACATTTAAATTGAGTTTTCAGACTTAAATTCAGTGATGTATTTTGTTAGTTGGCCATGAATTTGTTGTTGGAAAGAAAATTATAAGGAATGAAAAGGTATGGTGAGATCTGAACAGGAAATGAAAATTTTATTGATGATAATAGCAATAATAATCATAAATAAGCAGACGAAAGTCATAGTACCTGTTAAAAATGTTGTCTGTTATTTTGGAGGCAAAGACTGACCCTTCTCTGTACATTGCTCACTGGTCGATTTATTTCTGTCTTCCAAACTCTGTTACTATGTTCAATTTGAGGTCTGGTCTGGTATACGAAACAAATGACTATCTGCTAATTTCAAGGCCTACTTAGGAAATTCTTTTTATCTGAAATAACTAAGCTTTAGCAATGCCAATATGACATACATTTTCGGAATCGGAACCATAAGCTCTATTCATCTGCGTAAAAACCTAGTATGGCGTCTACAAGAAAATAAAGTTGATGCTGGAGGACAAAAGCGAAACGTCATACTGAAAATCTAATTATGCCGGAGGTACTTTCAAAACGAGATCCCAATTGCGAGGGTCGAATTTGAAACACCCGGTATAGTCAGATTGTAGTATATCCACAAACTGAAAACAAAGCTGCCAGATGCATGGCAGTTGTTTCAGTGGGAACGTAAAAGCAGCGCACCCGAAGTCGAAATCGAGTTGAAATCGGGTTAGTTTTGGTGCGAACAGTGTCAGTCGAGTATTTTAAAACTATAAAAAAGAGGTACCTTTGCAAACGAGCTTTAACTTCATCGTAGGTCAAGAAGGCTACATAACCTGGATGGGTCACAGCTAATATCTGCCAATTCCGAAGAAGCGTCGCCCACGGTTGGAACAGCCTGTAATGACAACACAGCATAATAAGGTCGCTAAAAACTAGAGCACTGGTATTTCTTAAACTCGAGCTAAAACTCAGAGCTCGATCATCGTAAAACCTTTTAGTTTCGAAAATATGTCGACGGAAGTTGCTAAAATAAAAATATTAGAAAAAATCACATATTAACAAGATTATTATTCTCAAAAATCGTTCAAAATAATATCCTACTGAATAGCATCCAGCAAGCATTCAATTTACAAGACTTTCTATATGTTTCAGTGTAGTAATAATGTATTTAATGGATTGTGTTTGTGTGCATGCAAGGATAATGCCCCAAGTGACCAGCCTGAACCCCTTACGCGCGCCAATACGCATATCGTTGGCATAATGAATAATTTGCAAATGAGTAGTACTCGCCGCCGATGTGAGAGTTCTAGACGTATATAAAAAATAGATGGGCTTACACGTAGGGGCATTCGGAGCCAAAAAGTAAGTGCTCATTTAATTTATTGCACTTTATTTGCGAGGCAATATACTTGTGAATTATCTCTTAGGTGATGATTTTCACAACAGCGAGTCTAATCAACCCAATAATAATATGGCAAATTGACAGCAATACATGAAAATAGGTCGGAAGTGCTAAAAGCCATAGCTGGACTAAAAAAATATATACAGCGTGACCAATACGCATATACAGTTATTTTCACCGTTTTTCGTGGTTATATAAGGAATAAGTAAATGGATAAAATTGCACACTGCCTAAGCCTCTCCTTAACTCAGGTGCCTCTCACTCTTGCACACACACATGAATTGAGTCATAGAGCACGTTGTTTTCAGTCACTTTCTCAAAATACTTTTAATGTAGACTCTCGACAATGTAGTGGTATCCTCAGGCACTATCTTTTATATCGATAATCACCACGAGTAAACACAAATCAGATGCCCATGACAAGCAGGTTGCCATACTGACAGTGACAAGCATACATGCGGAAGACTCGTACGTTGTCGTGAAAATTTGAACGTGTCTTTGAATTCACATAAACAAACGTCCGCGCATAGAGGTCGTTTGCATATGTATCCAGAGACAATAGGTTTAGGAATACTTTTTAAAAAATCTTTATTGAGAACTGTACGTACAGCTCGTTCCAAAATTACCAAAGTTTAAAAAGAAGTGACTTTCAATGGGGTGAGGTCTACTTATACTGTCGGGATGGCTTGCAATGCCTTTGCAAAAAACATTAAGCACGCAACAGATTAGCGAGAAGTTCTTGTGCTGGCTCAATGCCTGATGCAACAATGTAATATCAACTGCGTGGTTTAGTCATGAATAACGATTTAGCCTCCATCGATAGGCCACGTATTATTCTAGTTTTCTAAGCAGACGGCTTCAATTTCGTACTTACAACAACTAAGAGTCAAACCTCTATCGGTGGATAAAAAATGGCGTCGGGTAGGATTATATTCAACACAAACTAGAGCCTCTGAGAAAAAAGTCAGTCAAACAGGTAAATACAATTAGTCCATAGACAGACCGACAGAAAAGAGTGACATTGTTTTTCGTGATGTACATAATATCCAAAATTCATATCTCATTTTCGAAAATGTTTGCTATTACAATACTTCCCCGCCAGTAGGCGTGGGAAGTAAAACAATTATAATTGAAAAATCTCTTGATACTCACTTAACCAGTTTTTTGAATAAATACTACTGTAACATTTATAATGGAAATATCAGTACGTTTTATTGTGACTATTATTTTTATCTTATCTTCTGGAGGAAATGTTAACCTATGGTTACAGGGTTTTTTCTTTTTTTAACAAATTCCGATTAAATGATTTAGAAACTTAAATGCTGAACATAAAGAATATATGATAATATCCCACGATTTTACAAGGGAACGTTGCATAATGTTCATATTCATACACGATTATTGGATAAAAATTAACAGTGTGAAGCGTGGTTCCAAACAACGCCGATCGCAAAAGTGGTAATGACGTAGGTGTATTATTTACGATTAAACACACACAGTGTAAGGAAGCGGGCAAACAGTGGCAGGATATGCATATAGATACATACACAGACACGTCGAATATTCACGGGTGAATAACTAATGAGATTTTCCAGAACAAGCCACTGCTGAAAATCACGCTTCGAAGGAATACAGATGAGCCAGACCACCGATTGTTGTTTTGCTTCGTGAATAATGTCGAATTGTGCAGATCTACACTGCACAGTTCCTTACTTCAATTCAATTTTACAGCAGGAGAGTCCTAAGACTATTTTTTCGTTTGTCGATTTTTGGAAAACTACTTAGTTTCGATGACAGAAGCCGAACATAACGTTCAAAAGCAGTGGAATGGTAATTTTTACGTTCAGAAATGACGAAAATATCAATGCACCAGAAATAACATTCGCTTCCTTGGCATAAGGTAGATTGACTCTATACCTCCTACGCCTTCGTTGGAGGTTTTAAAGAATAGATATGAGTCAACTCGTTTCAAGAGGCGAAATTGAATCGTGATTAGGTAGGTTCCTTAGGTACGATAAAGCTTCGACCTCTGCATATCAAACTATATCAAGCAAATCTATCATATTTCCGTTTCCATGGCAGATGTAGGGAAATATGTGTAACATATTTTGTTTAACAGGTGCATACACTTGCATGCAAATGAGAGACGGAGATAAAACTCTTTGGAGCTACTACCGCAATTTCCACAATGGTAACTAAATGACAATGAAAAACAAGACACTTGAGATATGAGAGTATTTTTCAAACATCTTACAAATCCTACCTTATAATTGTTGATTATAGTTTTATAGTAGCAAGTAGCTTACCTAGTGAAAACATCAAACTCAAAATTCGATATGTAGTCGTTACACGTTAGATCTATCGTCGACTTCAATGCCATCGCTTCGAGTCCAGAACTGATGGGATGAACATTGTTCAGTTCTTGACGGAAAATCTTCCAAGGTACCAGAGTGCTGAAAACGAGAGATAATTGTAGACAAGGCGAAAATCTCGCATTCCACGGAGAAATTTTCCAATTAGATCTTCTTTTTCATAATCGCAAATATTGGGTGTCCCTTAACTTGATTCAATAGGCTGCCAGGCGGTAAGCAGGTGCCAATTAATTTAAACAATTTTGTTTTCAAACGTATTACAAAATAATGTTGTTTGCGCTCCGAACAACTCCGTTAAAGGTCATTATTTTTACCCGATTGTCCACGTACCCCCCGAGAATCTGGTTGGACTTTAGTATTTGTATAATATGGACAATGGACACGGAAAAATCAAAAATCGTCATCAAACATTTCACATTTTCGAAATTTTTTGAGATTACAATATTTTTTCGCCAGTGGCGTAGGAAGTAAAAATCGAGTTGAAAACTTTCTGTCAAGAATGCGTGGTTTTCGCCTAGTCTATGTTAGACCTTGGCGTATCGCCCTAACGTTACAACGCCCTCGATTACAGGAAAAAACACAAGCACGACACGACAGTTTCTAAACGATTGCACAACTCTTAATGAGAATATCCATTGAAATGTATTCAAATGTATTCCCTTATGCTGAGCGCTTGACTTTTGCATGAATGAAGGCAGAAATCGATTCAACGAATAGTGAAACGACCACGAACTTTTGTCTGAAGATTTCCTACGCTGAGTGTTGCCTCGTAGAATGGCAGAGCACCCACCTCAAAAACTTAAAAACAGTTTTGCAGTCCGCAAGACCATTGCATCCAATCAGTTGCAGTTGCAAGATGACTCTGTTTCCAACCTAATCGAATTAAATACTGTCTTTTTCACGAGTATTTATTGCAGTAAAATGTCAGCCGATTATCTAGTAAAAGTAATGTTCTAGCATTACATTTCCAACGCTTTGGAACCGACTGAGCATGCGCAGTAGAGACAATATGTTCAAGTAAGGGTAACACCTAATTGGGTACTATCGGTCCGCTGTTTTAGTAAACGAATTTTTGGTTTCGGGCGGCCCAAACAGAACACTGAATTTTGATGGGACTCGGAGTTTCTGGCATGCGGAGCACGCACAAGATCTTATTTTGTTAAGGATGACTTATGATTTGGGGTTATGGTTTTGAATTGTGTTGGAGAGTTTGCGTCTTTTTAAGGCCGTCCGTCACGATACGAAATTTTGTGCTAAATTTCGTACAAAATTAAGGATAGTATCAGACAGCATTTAGTACATAATTTTGTATGAACCAATTTAGTGCTAAATTTTGTAGAAACTGTACTATACCCTATTTCACGAGTATCCATCACGCTTTGACGCCTACTGAGATGAACAGCTCATCAGCAAGTGACATTTTTGTGTTAGTCTGCTACGTTGGCAATAATGAATCAGGTATAAATCTAGTAAAACTTGTTTGACCTCTTCTAAATAAAAGAGCTGTTAACAAGTACAAAATGAATCTGTAGCCTACAAAATCAAAAACCAAATTTCGGTCTGCCTACTTAGCATTGACGGATCTGTCAGAATTAAGTGGCCTTTGCCGATATAGGGAATTTTGAAATATTACTAGATAATCAGATGACATTCTACCGTAATGGATACTGGTGAAATAGGGTATAAATAATATCATACTAAAAGTGCGCAGACGACTTCTGGGCATTTGGAGCTGTACGATGGCTGATATAACCTCAAAATGAACACTTTCATTAGTTGATGTTATTAGTTATGTTCATCAGTTTCGCGAAACTCCTCTGCGTATGCTGTTCTACTTATAGATTGAAAACTTGAAAGATGTCATGATCAAAAGAGCAGTGTGACATATTACTAAACGAGTATGGCAAATATGATTGTTTATATCCTGTAAAAAGAAGTGGCATTCCCAGGATTTCAGTCTGGGATGGGTAAAATGGAAAGTAAATTCTCAGTGTGACGTACTGAAGTGTTATAATGATTTAACATTAAAAGCATGGACATATGCTAACATATGAATCTGTTACAGTAATTTCTGTAGAAAATACATACAGTTTTATTTAATTTTGAATCATACGAAATCAAAGTGTAAATAAAGCAAACCAAGCTCGAACGATCTTCATATATTAAAACAAAAATGCAAAATAATATAATCTATCACAGACTTTTCTACATAACAATGTCAGACAAAACAACAAAAAATACATCTTCATGAAAAAAATAACAATGACAAATATGTTAGGACTTAAGTATAAAACTGAATGTAAATCAAAATAAAATTCTTAATCATGAGAAAAACAAAAAATATTCATTCTATAACTACATTCTCTTAGCCAGTCTCAAAAATCAAAAACATATAAACTATGAAACTTCATCAGTTCACAGTCTCAAAATAAAACATACATTACATTAGCTTAGAAAGTGATTTGAACAGAATTTGAACAGACTTTTATAACAATCTGTTGGCCAATAAACAAAACCACATATCTTGATTGGATACTTTGGAAAAGATCACCGTGGTGGTTTAAACGTAAGTAAACCCTTAACTACATCTGCTTTTTTATTTATTGGTCAACAGAAGGGAGATAGATTTGAGAGACAACTTTAGGCAAAGTTCAGGTGTTACCATATTACAAAATCAACGCGCCTATTATTTTTGCTGTCGAACCGATCTATGATTGTATTCACGTCTATTTTAATATCCCTATGCATATACAAAGGAGCTAAACGCAATAATCGCTCTTGTAACATAGTGGAGCGCAGCCATGCTTTTATCCTCTTTAGATGGGAGAAACTTCTTTCAGATGTCGCAACACTTACCGGCAATGAAATAAATTATTGTAGGCATCTATTAATTGAAGGAAAAATGTTTCCATCACATGATAAATACAGTGACATTGCACTGTCTATAATATCTTGTGTACGTGACTTCCAAAAGTCAAATTCTGCTTTTAATCTGGTACTTATTAAATTTTTGTTTTCGTTACTATTTAGTCCATGCAAATATTTAGAGCTTGTTTTAAATATGTCCATTACATCAGCTTCAGTTTTTGAATTAAATACTGACGCAAAGAAAATATTAAAATTGTATATATTCAAAGATTCTTCATTGTAAATCATAGCAAATCCTGTAATATATTATCCAGCAAAGGGACATATCGGTTCAGTATGAAATAATTTTCCTTGTCAGACATAACTATGTTTGGTCTGTTCATTTACCTGCTTGTTATTCTTGACACAGTCATTTTAATACCCAGGGTTTCATGTGATTTCATTATCGATGAGAATGGTATTCTAAAGTGTTTTTCGGAATTTGCGCGTCTTTCTTGTACAACTGAAATAATATTTCTTTTGAATTTGACAGCGTATTGTTTGACAATTGTTTTTGATTGTAAAATCTTACTCAGGTTGACTGTTAAAGCTAATATCATCACACAAACACTTTAGTGATATGATAGATTGGATGGAAGTAATGGCAGTCTTCAAAGACTCCGCTTTTGAAGAAGCTTCGCGGTCTTTCCAATTTGATATAATATTTAAAACCTCTACAATTTTCTGGAATTTGCTTTCAAATTGGAGCACAGAATCATGTCCCTCGGTCCATCGTGTTTCGCACATACTATGAATTTGATATCCGTCTAGTTTTCTTTTTAATACTCTATTTCTTTTAGCGGATGCTTTGAAGAACGCAATTACTTCCTTCATTATACCTACAGTATTTCTTACTGCTTGGACACTGCTGCTTTTTGAAATCGAAACATTCATGGCATGATTTGCGCATGGTCTTTTCTGAGCATTTTCCAAACATTTTCGCAATTCCATTACAGCGCCCTTTTGTTCACCTAACATTAGGTTACACGTGTCATAACCCACACATAGTTTTGAGTCTAAGTTATTGGTTTTAATGAAATGCTTGACTGTTTGAGCAAGAATTTGACCTGTGAGTTTGGGCTCCATTGTATCTTCATCAAAATTTGAGCAGCAATCCACAAATCCCATGAAGTCCTCGTAAATATGTTTTTGATAACAATACCGCAATACGATTGACATTTGTGATTTATGGCTAATGTCTGAGGTTTCGTGAAATATAATACTGACTTTGCCTGACGCGACTTAAAACTATATCCAAGATTTCTTCGCCACACTCTATAATTTCATTCTGGATGCGGCTGCTTATGTACGTAGCATGCGCTTTTGAGTTCTCCATGTTTTTTTTCAATAAATTGTCGCCGCTCTTGACTCTAAACCGTATTAGTTCTCTAAAATTCCCTTCATTACGGACATCCTCGTCATTCGTGCTGTCATTAGAAAAAAGTCGTCCCCTATCTTTGTGCCATCTAAGTGGTATATTTTGGCGTAATAAAAAAAATTATAGTTTCTATTATAGGAGTCAATCTTTGCCGATTTTCTGATACTTGCTTAATTCGCTCTGAACCTATTATATTTCTTATATCATTCTCTGGATTTTCGTAAATCTTTAAAAAATTTGTAGCCTCTGAAACTGCTTCTGTATGATATATTGAGTTCTCATGTGTCTCACAATCACCAGTTTTGCCATACAATTTCGAAAATTTCTTTAGTGGTACGGTATCAAGTTTTCCCAATTTAGTTGATTTATGTACTCCTCCTAATTTTGCAAAAACCACGCAATATTTACAGAAAAGCCCTTGCAGTTCCTCTGAATATGACAGCCAAGGAAATTTTTCAAAGTGTTTTTCTTATAAGTTACAAGTCACTTCTTTATTTTCAAGTGTGTGGAATAGGGATGTTTGAAACAGTCATTAGGGGTCATTGCACACCTCAATAAGGTATATTTTTCATGGGAAGACAAGTTGCCGCTGAAATTTATATATGGTGCAACATCAACAAAATCGGATCCTTTAGGTTTCGCACCCGATTGTGCAACACATGGTCCAGCATACGGTGCAACATTAAGAAATTTGGAAGTCGAAGGCTCAGGTTGAATTGTAGGATTATTATCAGATTTTTCCGGTTATTCTTGTGCCGGTGGATCAGACAGTTTGTTTTGTTTAGAATGGAACCAATCGATGGTATTATTTCCGTTTACTCATCCTGACAACAGCAGCCGTCAACCAGCACTAAAAGTTACACAAATATTGTCAAATAAACTGCATTATTGGTTTCCACGCATTCACGTATCTCATAAACTACCAGAGAGAAGCGCGAGAAGCGTACAATATGTATGTTAGAAAGAGTGAGCCGATGGCATGCGTGACCTCGTACTCGGGTTGCTATTCAACGAGGTGCTTCTATCTCTTTCTAACACACGTATTACACGCTACTGGTGCATCGCTCTCGCACACATTACGTCGTCAGTGATATTTGGTTTTCAGTGTATATGTCTGAAGTCTTTGCTATATATTAGTTCTAAATTATATTGTTCCGATTGGGTGTACCCCGTTGGAATAAAGATTATTATTATTATAAAAACGTCAAAATATTATATGAATATGAGGCAAAATTCGCGTTTTCGTCTCCTGTTATTACACGGGAAAGAAATTTGATACCTCAGGGTAACTTGAGACGGTGAATACGAATATGATGGACAAAAACTCGCAAAGACTCGTGGAATTGAATATGAAGTAGAAAATGGGTCATTTGGGACTACTCCTTTGGCCTAGCATCCAATTGATATCAGAATCAGATTCTGCACATGCAGTTCAGCTAGGAAATTCAACTTTATTCGGATCACAGATATTCAGAGGGGTTTCTGAAAATAATCATATGAAAAACCTTTAATTTGTGGTTGAGAATTTTAAATTGATCAAAAATGAATATAGTTAATATAGAGATTGGTTGTGGAACATTTCAATTTTATTTTGACCTAAAATTACATGATTCAATTTTGTTCACAGTGCGGGCCAAGGTTATGTGCTTGCAAACTTGCTCCACTTTGATCCAAGATAAAATTAATGTAACCATTAAGATTAGGTATGGTTGAAAATTGTATATTCCCCTGACATGTTCCATTCCTGAATCTCTATAGAAGTAACTGTTATAAGAATATACAAATACTCTATATGGCTAAATACACATTATAACATATTTTCATGAAAAGAGACACTAAAAATTTGTATAATGGCGTTGTTAATGGTTCCTGGAAATTGTATCACCCTCACCACATTTTAATTTTAATTGCATATTTCCATGTAAATGTGACAAATTCGCAATATGACCTTGACAGTGAGTAAAAAATCAAGAATTGTGTCAGTTGCTCACATAGTGTTGGCAAATACCGTTTGCTGGAGGATCCAGCATTTACCCTGGTAAGTATATCTTTATGAATTTCATTGACAGATTACTACAACTATGTAAAAAACTGTGATTCTTGAATACAAAAGTCATTAATCACATATAATAATTAATTTTTAATTAATCTTAATTTTGTTTGAGGTCAAGTACATTTTTGTCACTACCCTGGCAACACTTCTCTGGCAATTTTCATGTCAATTGTTTTTTCTACTCTTCTTGTTCTACATTCCACTTTTTGACATTTCTTTACAATAAAAGAATACTATAAACAACAAAAGCAAAGGCAGCAACCTGCTATCACAAACATCCATTATGCTCAAGGTTTGTTAACTCTCAATCTAGACGACTCTCTTGTTGTATGACCAATGGAACTTAAGACGCGTTATTTTTAAAAAAGGACTATTGAATTTGTTTAGCTAATGGTATTTAAATCACAAAGTATCTTTTTCATAGTTTAAATGACACTAACCCCTGGACACACATTTTCCACTTTCCTATTTAAGCTGTCAAAATCAAAATATTATCTGAACTTGCCAAATATGTATCACATATCATTTAGCCTTGTGACATAATGAATATGAAAACGGGATAGGCTATTTTTCTTAGTTGACACTGAAAACCGAAATACTGTATATTGTATCAAAGTTTTTGAGACAAGTACCACACTAGACAAACATTGGTATAGTAGCAACTATCTAAGTAAAATATCTATTTGCTCAAAATAATCATATAATAGAAAAGTTGTATATTTTATCAGTTATAGTCAAAAATTATTTGAATTGATCTGAAAAAAATATATATATGGGATCTCAGAACCATTATGAAAGATATAAACAATAAAGATTCACACATCAGTATTTAAACCTATTATATCAAATAACCAACTGTTCACTTAAATGCCTTTACACATACAGCCAAAGTATCCATAAACCAGCTTATACATGTATTGACAAAAATTGATAAAAATAAAAATTAGTAAGTACAACCTAACATGCTTACATTGAACATGTAGGAACCTGAGTGAAGCTATTGATTGATATGCTGAAGCAGGTGCAACTTACCTATTTCCAAAGTTTGTTCTCCAAAAGTCTGCAGCATCAGATTTGGTGATGCGGAACAAATCCCCAGCAAACACACCATTTGGAAATAATGCCTTAAGTTCACTTAACATATGACTAAACACTAAACTCAATTTGGTCAAATTCCTTCTATAATGCGAATTTTCGTCAAACATTTTCTCTTTGCCCTCTTTGAAAAGCTTAATAGCTTGTTTACACTTACGCATTAAATTGATTATAAATATGTTAAAGTGTTCGATAGAGTGTAATGCTTGTAAATTGTCCTCATATTTTGAGTAGATAAGCTTAAGCCTTTGATAGGTGTCTGGTAGAATATCTAATATAAAAGGGGGCGAATTTTTCAAATTCATCTTTGGATGCTGGCACAGTTTGACCACTTTGTCCATTAGTTTCCATGTTTTGTCTAAAGTCCTTTTATCAGTAGCGTATTTTGGATGCGTAACGACGTCCGAAAAAGCACCTTGCAGCTTCGAAAATATCGTTGTGAAGTTTTTGTGTTGGACAGGACGATTCCTGCCTGCCATGTTGGACAGAGATTTGTAATCAGGAGTCACATAAACCGTCGGTTTCGATGCTGCGCTTGATTTCCGATTAATTATTTACATTATTAATTTTACTTTGGGCTGCATAACTGTCTTTTGAACAAACACAAATAGCGAAGAGAATTTTGTCATCCACATTTGTCATATCGGACTGACAGTGACAATTAATAAACTAAAAATGACGTATGACATTTGGCGTAGAGCACCAAGATTCTGTAACGAATATTCTAACTGGGGCCACCTAGTTGCCGTCTTTAAACCGACTTCCAGGGACTGCTCATTTTTGAGAATCGGTGTAGTGACGACACAGCGGCAGAAACATGGCCGCTCGCAAGGGAGGCAGAGGAGCGTGCTCTTCTCCCTGATAATCCAGATTAACGTTGATATTAGCATGGTTCTTAGGATTTGACTAATCGCTTTTTATATACCAAACTATTTCAGCAACTTTTTTAAATTTTTTCTCACAGTATTAAAAATTCGATTAAACACGAGTCTTCCTTTATTCCTCCTGAGAAAATTTGCTACCCCCGTTCTTAATTTGTTTGTTGTTGAGGCAGGTACACTTTACACTTTCCCAGAATCTAACCTCTCGCCGATGATCGCCCACTAGAGAAAAATTCTTGCGGACACCTATGGGCAAAATAAACTAAAGATTACAGTTTACCAACACCCCATGCCGTACAACTTTCTAACGATTTTAGGCGTAGTAAATTTATTTGGAGCAGACACAATACTGGAAAGTGCTTTTGTTTTACTTTGTTTTTCAGCGTTACTGGAATTCCTGTTCACTTCAGACGTCTATTACTGCTCAGAAATTTCGAAATTATATTGAAAGTTTTTTAATTTTGTTAGTAGCTACAGTGCATGCTATAATATGATAATTACACTTGACATGGGCGGATTTATCGTTTCGTCAAAAGGGGGGGGGGAGGGGTCAGGGCTCAAACGATATTTGGGGCTGGTAATTTTTCAACCTCAGTGGAGCTTCTATAATGTATCCTATTACTGCGCCTTAAATACATTGTGTTCTATTTGGTCAATACCAGCTTGAAAAGAAAACATGGAAAATGCTCAGAAATCCGCAGAAAGGCAATATTTTATTATATGAGAACAAAATAGTACGTGGCATTTATAATTAACTAGTGTAATAATATTAAAGATTAAAACATAAAGAACTTCATTGCTCTGTTGACCGAAAAAAAAAACATCCTGAGGGACCCCGAGACATACCCTAGTCCATTCCACCCAAAACGAACATGAGACCGAAAAATTCCGGCGCGGTCGGTGAGTGAAACAAAGGCATGAATCCGTATGGCGCAAGCACAGCACGCAGATAAATATCATATTACTGTAAAGTATTTTAATTTCATGAAATAATAATATACAGGGTGATATTTAATTAGCTAACCATATATAAGCTGTTCATATTGATGGGACTATCATTCCCCAAAATATGCTCAGCTAATTAAATGTCATCCTTTATATTTAATGTCAAAAACAATTTTTTAGCAGCACCTAAAATTCTATCTGCATTGACTTGTTTCCCCAATTCCGGTTGAATACTGATTAGAATTTAATCGCGAGGCTTCGACACTCATTCTGGTATGTATACTCGAAAAAATTTTCTGGATACATTCTGTACTTCTTCCAAATATTATGTCTTGAACAAAAGAACTATTATAAAGACATTTCGCTCGGCCTATACTGGTCGCGGTGGCGAACGTGACTGCACGTGGCCGGCAAACTGTGCCGCGCGTATGGTCGCCCGCCCGCCGCTCGTCGTTCGCGCCGCCTGTCCCCGTGGCCAAACCGTAGCATTGCTTGGCTGCAACACCAGCCCTGAACAAAATCAGTCAAGCTTTACACACTTTTTAAGTTACTATTGAGCAACAAACAGAACATAAATCACTTTTTAAGTGCAATCTGTATAGATAATATATAACTCAGACTTAGATTTGTCACAAGTCACAATACTCGTATATACGTATATCGTAAGAATTGTGCTGTAAACGTAAGTGATGTCAAAGAGGGACATCATTTGGAATACCAAAGGATACGAAAAATCGTAATGCTCTGTTCCTATAGCTATAACATAGTTAGTATACCTTTGTCGCCACGTTGTGTCAGAAAGTAACACAATGGTGTAAGATTACAAAGGCAAGTGTCAGAAGTCTAGAGGGGCGCGCGCCTTCCGCGCTCCCTCCCCTAAATACGCCACTGACACTTGAACCGATTCAATTCCAAAATCCAATGCTAGATGGAATAAATTTAAAAGTATAATACTTGAGTATTTATTCATTACATTGGCAACGGCGAAATATAGTGTGGGTGAATTGACCCTATGATTTGTTTTTTGTGTCCCATGAATTATGTCATCATTCCAGCTGTCAAACTGTCAAGGTTTATTAACCTCCATTTGTTTTGTAGAAATAATGTCTTTTTAGATTTTTTGCAACGGTATGTCATTAATAGCCTTCTTTATATCCAGAACACGTCCAAAAAGTGAGTACTAGTGGATAATCATCAAGACATATTGTATTTCTAGGTTGTGAGGTATCTGCAGCAATTGTTTTGCAGAACACACACGTTTCTATACCTATTTATACTATCTTTATAGACTACAACATAAAAAAAATCATTGAAATCGAGCAATATACACGATGGCGGCAGAACCGAGTGATTTTGTAACATCGGTGAGGCAACTTTTAAATCATGGAGATATTGATCGAGTGTTAACAGTGTTTAGTGATGAAAAAAATAAGACTGAAATAGTGGATGTTTCGTGGGAACTTCTACCCATTCTGACTCAGTATTTAACTTCTGATTATGGAAAAAACAGTGAAAAACTGTTCAAGGGCTGTGAAGAATTGCTGCAGGTTGTGGCAGATACAGCAAACCCTGAAGAGACAGTGCTGCAGTTCATAGAAGAACTTGAAGAATCTACAGATGACATACAGTTTTTAACTTTACTGAAAAGCATCCCCAAAGTTCTGTGCAGGATATCCCAGAAGAGAACCAATTCAGTAGGATGGTGTTACAACTCTATTCACAGCTACTTACAGCAGTGTGAAGTGCCTGAATGTTGTGGATTAGTAGGCAGAGAAAAACTGTTGCTTGATAGTGATGAAAAAGTGCAGCGAATTTTGTTCTTATATTCTGAGATTCTACAAATTTATGATGAGTTTTTTGAAAGAATTACCCCCTCAACTACTGAAGAATCTAATGAACATGACTATATCACTAAGAAGTTTCTTGTAGATCTTCTTGGCATGCCTCTTGTGTACTTAGATGTGGAAATATTTAATAATGTCAAAAGCAAAGCAAGACTGATTGCTGAAAATATAGTGGGAAAGATATTCAATATTATTTATGATCCTATGACTTTAACTGTTAGAAAATGTGTGGATACAATTGATGATCCAGTTGATGCCAATGTTGAAGCAGTTGCATCATTATTCTACCTAATATTCAGTGAAGAAGTATATTTACAGCAGGTTCCTAAGGTCTATGATCCAGATTTCTTCTTTTACAATACCTTACATCTAAGTGTAGCCTTACTTGAATTTGATCATCAAATTGTTGTAGAAAAAGGAATTAAGTTCTCCATATCATTATTACAACATATAGAACATAGAGAGACACCTTATACACTCTTAGATTCTCAATATCCCAAAAGATTCTTATTGGCTTTGTCTAATATTATTGTTTACAATAAACTTGATATACTGAGAATTGCTGCTCTAGATATTTATAAAAAATTCATTACATCTTTTGATCCTAAAGGAAAATATCTCGTAATATATAACTTAGTGGATCATTTAAACCATTCTGGATTAAAGGGTTTTACAATAACACTTTATAAAGAAGAACTAGCTGTACAATTGAGACTTAACAATAACATGTCTTGTTATTTTCAAAATAAATATTTATTCAGTATATTGAGCAAAGTGTGCTATCTACATAAGAAGGAAGAGAGTGACTTGGTTGAAATATCTGACCAAATTATAGCAGCTTTGAACTTATTACGTTATCTATTGCTTGCAGATAAAGAAAATACTTCTCTATATATGTGTTACATAGATGACATAAAATTGATGTTTTTAGACCCTCTCAGGAAGGGTATAGATTTGTCAAGAGCACATTATCAGTTGAAAGTAAAGGAGATTCAGGAGGATATGGTTACTAGTGATAAGAGTAAACCATCGTCTGATATCAATATTATGGTTGGCGGTAAGAATTTGGGATTGATGCCAAAAACTGAAAAATTGGATGTGCTTAATATGTCAATGACTGTTTTTGATGTTATGGATAGCTTACTTAGTAGAGTAGAAGAGATTATCGAAAATAAAAGGAGGGATAAAATTACAAACTGTTAGGAACATTGAAATTATTTTTGTTATTGTTACTTTCTCACATTTTGTTATTGGAATTTCGTACTTATAAATAAAGCAGTACTAGTTATCAATGAGTTCTTGTATTTGCCCTTATTACTCTTATTAGCACATCTCTGCTTCTGCTGTCTGGCTTCACCAGCGAGCGTCCTTGTGTCAATGAGTGTCCTGCCGGGTCTGATGAGTCATATGGTATGGAGGTGAGACGACAGGGCCAAATGGGTGGTAGTAGTGGCAGGGTAAGAAGAGAATGTTATGGGCTAACTGTATGGGCCTGTTTGAATGACTTGATCCGTTTAGACGTAACTTGTGCTGAACATAATCCTTTGCGTGGGAAATGCAGAGTCGACCTACATGACGCCATTTTTTATTTATTTTTCCATTACCAGAACCGCGTACATGGATTAGATATGGGCGATCATTTCAGGAATTTTCGGTTTAGTTCCGAAAATGCTTTGTGTTTACGCCATTACGCTTTGTTTTTTATATTTTGCGTTACGATACTTTTAAATTTTTCAGGAAAGCGCGTAAGACAACGCGGCAAGAAGAGGCACAGTTGCACGCAACCCCGAAATCAGTCCTTACCGGGAAGTATCCTTACCTGTGGCGCAAGATTGCATAATATGCATCTTGAATAAAGTGTTTTACACGGGCGAGTCATAGCCACCTATACCTAACCTAGTTGTAGGTGGCAGTAGCTGAATGAAACGAATGTAGTTACCTTCACCCAACAAAACCGTTTTGGTAGCAGAGAACAGTGGTTACATTTTGTAACATTTTGAGTTGTAGTTTTTTATGTGCCGCTTTCCAATATACTTGTATATGTTTATGCAAAATGTTGCTCCAATTTGGCTAATTTCGCATCTCTTATCATGTATAACTTCCCCAATAGCAGTCCATTGGTAGAGTCCTATCTGCAAGAGAGATATCAAACAGTAGAGATTCATGGTGTGAGGTCTGCAAAGAGGAAGATATGGGTAGGAGTGCCACAAGGCTCTGTCCTAGACCACATACTCTTTCTCACATATACAGGGTGGCTCATCCATGTGTGGACGGAATATTACTCATACACAAATACATTTTTGGAAAATCTATTTATGGCATGTTATACATGACATTTGAGGGCACATTTCTATAATATTGGGAATTATACAGGGTGTTCCAATTTTGACCTACATATCAAAGTTGTGATTTTTTAAATGGAATGCCTGAGATTTTATTGCATATTTGGATAAGCCAATTCAAAAGAAGAAGATTGATATAATATACTAATTTGTAGTGCTGAATTTTGTATAAAAAAAACTTACACATCTCAGCTTTTATCTTATTTGCTACTTTTTCGAATTTTCATGTTTGCTCATACAGGGTGGTCGAAAACGCGAATTGTACTTTTTCTCAAAAATTTCAAATGCATCACCCTGTATATTTGTGCAAGTTTGGATTCAGTTTTTTATAAACTTTTTTAACAATTCTCGGACACTAGAATGGTTTTTATTTTTTTACTCTAAAATGGCGCATCGAAGGAAAACAATGTCATTTGTTTTAAATTGAACGGGGAATTCAAAAATAATTTTTTGGCGTACCATTTTTTTCTTAGAAAATATCGAAGTCAATACCCGTACGCACGACACTGTTAAAGCTAAAAATTATTTTTGCATTGAAAAATATGCAACTTTATTAACTTCCACTACGTACTAAATATCATTGAAATATCTGAAGCGGTTCTGAAAATATTAAGTAATTTCCATTTTTTTCTTAAAACTTCAACACCCCGAGTTTTTGTAAGGAAACATTTCTGGACCATAGTTTATAAAGCAAACTAACATTAATTTTTCATGTAGATTCACACCCTTAAATAATCGCATATCATTAAGAAACACCCTGTATATAAAATTGATTTATTTCATTAATATTTTTTATAATTAAGCTGTTTTAAATATATTTTACCGTAAAAAAACAAAAAAAAAACAGAGACTACACGTATACTATAATGTATAAATATGTCTAAAAATGATATTTTTTGATTTATCAAACTAGCTAGCCAAAGATATTTGTCCAAAATGCCACTGATCCATAGGTTATCATGGGTCTCACCATCCTCGTGGAAAGAGGTGTATGGAGGCAACTGTACAATATGTCCGTTCAACATGTCCAAAAGTTGTACAGGGAGTTTAGTGCACGATGAAGAACGGGGTGTACGACTGTCAATCTCGGAGGCGGTTATTAAGTTGGTCGTGATTGTTTAGGTAGTCGTAGATTTTGAAGATTGATTCAGAGGCGGCAGACATAACATCGCTGGAACTTAGCGTTACAACGTTTCTTAGATTCCTGCTCAGTGTTAGACATTGTTTGGAGAAGATGAAAATTGTAGGTTGGATATAATGTCACGCATATTTTCCCTACATCTGCCACGGTAACAGAAATATGATAGATTTGCTTTGCATAGTATACGCAGAGGCGGAAGATTCATCGTACCTAAGTGAACCTACCTAGTCACGATTCGATTTTGCCTCTTGAAACGATTTGACTCATCTTTTTTCATTGAAACCTCCAACGAAGGCCTAGGAAGTATAGAGTCAATCTACTTGACGCCATTTTTTTATCAGCCCTCGTAGTTGTAAACATCATCAGATGTTGGGTATCTTCTGGCCAAATATTTTAATCAATGCTCAAACTCACAATTCCAACAGGTTCATACACACTATGGACAACTGTGGCGTGTCGCCTCAGTTCAACAGAACCACCTTCAGGTGGTCCAACATTAAAAGATGAAAACCCACAACATGAAGATAAAAGAAGTACTCAGGGTAACTACGAGGAAGACATTCGGAACAAAATTCTGTCCGCCTCATTGCCGTATGTCCCCCAGCTGGGTTGGTCAAAAGATGCCATCACCAAAGGCGCCGAAGACGTTGGTTACCCGGGGGTAGTACATGGCATGTTCTCCAGGGGAGGAGGAGACCTGGTACACTATTTTCAAACTAGTTCGAATAGTCAACTGGTCGAGATACTTAAAGAAGTAAGTAATTTATTGTTAGGATAGTCTTAATTAGTGAAAACGATTTTATAAAAAAGTTGTATATTCAGTATCATACGGTATCAAAATATCGGCTGATACATTTAAAACACTTTTTTAAATATAAATCATTTTAAAACAAGCAACTTTGTTGGAGACCTGTCGCCAACCTGTCAGTGATCGTGTCCAAGATCCCGTCACACAAATTTCGTTCATTCTCCTACGCTCGTTAGACACAGTTACCAACAAAACACCGACCACTGTACGTATAAACTATAATCAAATCCAAGGGAATAACCAAAATTTCTGTGCTATGTGCCGCGGTTATAATATGGTTCAAGATGACACACGGGTTGATGACGTCAGTTACACGGATCGCTTGAACGCGTTGATTTTAACCGCGGTTTTGTTGAAAGTTGTTTATTTTGGAAAAGTGCGATGTAATCTCTGATCATTTTTATTATCACTTAATAATAGGTGCTTTTTCGTCTACAACTGTGTATGGAAAGTTTAAATAAGAAACCTTTCATATAATTCATGGGAGAAATGTTTTTCTTTTCAGAATTTTTTTTTTAATGATGGAACCATGGCTTTGTAGCTATGATAACTTTGAATTCTCTAAAGTTTTCCGCATGTCAAAGAAAACATTTATTGATTCAGCAGAAATGATTAAAAAGCGATGAAAAAAGATATTAGCAAAACCGTATTCAGGTGGACATCATCTAGTGAGTTTATATGGCCATATTTTAGTATTCTTGTGGTATATGGCTACATAGGATACTTTGTTAAGCATAGGAACTATATTTGATGTGTTCCCAACAACAGTAATGAGTATAACTAATCAAGTGCTCCACTTTATGGTAAAACTGAAGTCAGCCCGTATCAAGTTTCCCAAAAATGAAGCTGAAGTACAATAACAATATCCAATACCCGGCAAAATTCTAACTTGTCACATTTCAAATAATAACCAGAAATATAAAACTACTCCTGAGTTGGGTAAATACCACAATTTTGCGGTGATAACTATGACATATAACAGCTGATTCATGACGTCATGGATCTTATAACCAACCTGATAACCACACTCGCTTGAACGGATCGGTAAATACCAACCCAAAATGGTAAATACCATTTTCATTTGGTTATCCGCTTGAATTTGATTTATAAGTTAACTTTATTAATGAACTAAATGTGCCTGTTATTAACATATCTTATCAGTACGCGATGTAACCAAAACTTTGCGGTCAGCTGTTGTGCTATTACTGGTTTACAAAAAAAAAACAGTGATCTACGAGTATGAGGACCGTTCGTGGTTTGACGATTCGATCGTAGATGGCTCGACATTCTGCCAAGGATCCGCGTGTTTCGCTTCGAATTACGGAGGCGATGTCACCAAGCTGACATAATATTGAGATATTCAGTCAAACCATTGGTGTACCTAATCAATTTATTATTTTGTACATAAGAATTTCAAGGTTAAATCTCTTATCTCTCTCTCTAATTTATTCACCTTGGTATAACTAGTCTTTGACTGCAGTATGCTCGGGTAACAAAATCGACAAAACACTACTGTTAGCGCGACACCCCTTTGATTAGGCAAAGTCAGTGGGCTCAGATCGCGTTATATTCAAAGACACGCCATGTTAACAGTGGCGTATGATGTGTTTTGCTACTGTCTGCCGTTTCGGTACTAGACTGTACAATAATAATCCAGCGAGCATCTTATTTCATAGATTGTCTAATTTCATACATTTAGACTTTCTCTTTTGGGGCTATGTCTACATGAATACATGTTTAAACGCGCGAAAACGTCATCGAAAATTGGATTTTCAAAATAATCTTCAAAAAAGATATGTCAGATAATTTTTTGGTTCGATAATAAAGACAACTCGACAGTTCTTTGATGTTTATGAAAAAGTATATCTACGTGAGCCTCCCATAAACCACACCAATGGGCTCTATATAGGGGGTGCTTGAATAGAGGCAAAGTTGCGTATTTAGGTAACTAACAAAATGCTGTTTAGAAAGTTTCGAAAATCAAAGTATTTTCCCGAAATCGTTTGAATTTTTTCCTGGATTTGTAGAAGAATTTTGAAATAAATTGCACATTAACGTTGTCACTTTTTCTCTTCTACAAGATGGCATAATTAGAATTTCAATATGACGTTTCGTCTCTTGTCCTCCAGCATCAACGTTATTTTTTCTTATGGACGCCATATTGGATTTTTGCGCAGATAAATAGAGTTTTTAATTCTAATTTCAAAAGTGTATCATATATATTAATATAGTTGCACATTGACATTGTCATTTTCTCTCCTCTACAAGATGGCATAATTAGAATTTCAATATGACGTTTTACCATATTGTAGTTTTACATAGAAAATTAGAGTTTTCAATTCTGAATCCAAAAATGTATAATATGACATGTATTGACATTGCCAAACCTTAGTTATTCCAGAAAAACAGAAATTCCTAGGTAGGCATTGAAATTATCAGATAGTCATTTGTTTCATATACCAAACTAAAGTATATTCAGATAAGAGATAGACCGGACATAAACAAGACCACGTGATCATCGAACGCTGTAACATTCGGCAGGGACGTATTAAGAGTGACGCAGTACATATTTTAGATAGTAGATGCTGCTTTGCGCAACTTTGTAGTAAATTAGCACAATTCGATGTGTATACGATTGGTGATGGATATAGGATCATGTGGGAGTGGGGTAAGAAATATATAATGATGTAAATATACATAAGGGTTTCAAAATTTTCGCTTCGATTTCCAGCTTCGGATGCCGCCTGATGTTTGGTGAAATACAGTCGAATATAATCTCAAAATGGCGTTTAAATTAGCCTAAATTAAAAATAATCGTATATCTCTTAAAATTGCTTTTCGAATATTGATTAGTATATTTTTTGATTTCTAGGTAAATATGTAACCAAATTAAAACGTTCAAAACGTAAAAAAATGTGCATGGTTGAACATTGTCAGAAAGTAGATTCTTGAATAGGTTTTGCCAAAATGGGTTCAAAAATGTCAATAATTAATTAAAAAATACAGTAGCTTTATAATTACTTATAACTTACCGAATTTGATGAACGACATCTTTTATTGGAAAGATGAGCTTGATGAGCTTTCATCATCGCTACTGCCTGAAGCACCAACGTCAATAATGAATGGCTCGACTTGTTCCTCTAAAATATTGTCCAGTTCCCACATTCTCTTTTCAACTTTGTCTTTCACGTGCTTAATACAGTTTTCCCATTTTTGCGCTGTTATTAATTCTAGTGCTTCTTTGAAAAGTCCTTTGAGGTCACAAAATTTAAAAGTTGTATTGTGCTTAGCTATATAATTTTTAACCTCTGCCCGTATGAGCTCAATAATGGGATTGAGCTCGCAATGGTATGGAGGTAAACGGAGCACAGTTTTATTTTAACTTGCTGCCATTTCGTCAATGGCGTATTTTTTATATTCCGCCTTGTGATCCTTGACAATTCTTAATAATTGTACTTTCAGCATTGCTTCTTCAAAGTTGATATTTTTCGAGCGGAGCCAATTTTGAACATCAACTTTCCTTGAAGCCGTTGTTGGGACCTTCTCCATTCTTCGAGAATGATAAGGCGCATTATCCAACACAATTACTGCGTTTTCCTCTAAGTTCGGTAAAATTTTTGAAAACCACTGTTCAAACGATTCGCCATTCATTTCCTCGTGGTAATCTCCAGTTTTCTTAGACTCAAAGCACCACAAACCGTCAACAACAAATCCATCCTCACTGCCAATATGGCAGATAATGAGCCTTTTCCCTTTACCTGGAAATCGAAGTACTAACTGGTGTAGATTTATTTCAATAAGCGAACCTTTTTCAAATGTTTTCATCACATTCAGCGAAAAAACATTGAGACATGAGTATCAGATTGCTATAATTGGGATTATTTAGTCATATTGAAAGAAAGAATATTGAACGTCGTATGATTACTCATCGCTTCACAATTTAATTTAAAGTTATAAACCTTTAAAAAATGAATGATCAGGAACCTGAAATACGCGCAAATATTAATATTAACAAATTATAACTTTATAAAGCTTAAAGTATGAATTAAAATGATTAGAAATATTAGGAACGGTACACAATATAAAACTTAGTAACTTTTTTTAAGTTTATAATATTCGACATATTTTAAGATTATATTAAAAAATTATTGAAATATCGAAAACACATAAAAATATGGCTTAAAAAAGTTCTAACAAATGAAAATGACAATAAAACATCCACGCATTTTATCGAAAGTTATAAAAGTTTTGTTACTTGTAATATGTTTTATCTGCCCCCTGGAATTAATGTTTAGAACCTTGTTCCCAAGGTTTGAAAAACATCCGATTGTTGTCTATTACTCGTATTTACCTGCTGGATTTTTTAATCCGGTGGACAGTCCATCTAGAAAGGCCCTCCTGGATGAAGTTACAGAATCATCAACCCATACTTTACTTGTAGCGTGTCCTGCGTTTACCCACGTTTCATCAAGGTAATAAATCTTCCTGTTTTGATTTCTATATTTCCCAATTTTTGTTAACTAATCCCTCCTCCATAGCACAATTTCTTCTCTATCCAGTAGTAAACTATTACGGCCCAGTTTTTTCCATTTGAAATTTAAATGCTTCAGTAACGCATGGAAAGTTGATCGTTTGAAATTTGGCAACGTTGTATCTCCATTTACCTCCTGCAGTACTTTATCTATAGTAGGTATTTCATTTCTAAAGAATTCATGCACTTTCCTCCTAATCGCATGCTTATCAGCTTCATCCAATGGTTTAACAATACTTTTGCGATGTTTACTGGTCATTCGCTCAGAAAAGGTGTGATTTTTTTTGTATTGTCTTAACACATTAAACACTGATGCGCGACACACCCCAACTTTGTGAGAAACCTTCACAACAATTTCTTTGATGGTTGGTGCCTCGTTCTCCTCGCGCTCGATCTTATATATATTCAAAATGACCTCTTTCATTTCTGCACTCAGGTGTCTTTTTTTAGAGCGTTTCCTAGGTGGACTACAGGAGTTTACAACTTCATCGGCAGTATCTGTACTACTGGGCATTTTGCGCAAGCAGTTGATAACAATAACAATCAATAACAAGGTATAACAATAACAACGACAAACTCAACAACTTAATAAGATAACAAACGAAAATGTCCAAAGAAATATCAAATTGCAATGATACACACGACATACGTAACACGTCTGAACCTGAATGTGACTCTGCCTTGATACGACTGCTCTGCCGCTCGGCATAGGCATTTAATTGCGAATTGACCAATGAGGGCTCCTGTTTTACGTCGAGACGGCGGCGTTAGCATGAAAATCACCCGAACCTTTTGTTTACATCCGGTCTATCTCTTATCTGAATATACTGTAGACCTCAAATTGAACATAGTAACAAAGTTTGGAAGACTGAGAAATAAATCGAGCAGTGAACAATCTACAGAGAAGAGTCAGGGTTTGCCTACGAAATAATAGACAATATTTTAATGTACTGTGATTTACGTTTACTTATTGATGATTATTATTATTACCATCAATAAAAGATTCATTTTGTGTTCAGCTTTTACTATACCTTTTTATTTCCTTATTTTTATCCAACAACGAATTCATGGCCAACTAAGGAAATGTATCACTAAATTTGGGACTGAGGAGTCTATTTAAATGTTCAAAATTACAATATATCGTCCATATGAAAAAACAAAGTTGGGATGGAAGTCGGAAGAAGCAACCTCGAATTGAAAATTTGACCACGCCAACTTGTAGAGGAGAATAAGTAACATACAATTTATTTCGTCTTAAGAAAAGTCAGGTCAAAATAAAAATGCTTTTGGCATAAATCTGGTCGGCAAAACAAGATATGTAATATCAATGCCTACTGAGTAAATTCTGCTTTTTTTAAATAACTAAGGTTTGTCAATATCATTATACATTGTATAACGAATTATACATTTTTGGAATCAGAATTAAATACTCTATTCATCTGTGCAAACATCCAAAATGACGTCTATAATAAAAACAAAGTTGATGCTGGAGGATAAGAGACGAAACATCACATTGAACTTCTAGTTGTAGAGGAGAAAAAGTGACAATGTTAATGTAGGCAATTTATTTTTATATCCCACTACAAATAAAGCCAGGAAAAAATTGAAACGATTTTGGTAAAATTCGGGTTTTTCCGTGCTCTTCCGGAAGTACTTTGAATTTCGAAACTTTCTAAGCTGCATTTTATTAATTACCTAAATACGCAACTTCGCCCCATTTAAGTGACTTCGTATCTCTTACAGTTTTCCGGATCCCAATGGTGAGGCTCAAATTTGAAACACGCGGTATAGTGTTGCTGGAGTTACCGTTACCATTTGATGTTTTGTTGACTAATTTCGATAATAATAAATCATGACACATATCCCATCTTAAAAAAAATTGTACTTTCAAAGGTTTGAAAAATTTTCTCCCACCTAATGTTGAGGTAAACTCGTGGACATGGGATACCATATCATTTTCAAATCTGTAGAACAGAACTAGCCCAGGTCCTATTTCCGATATGTTTATAGCAGATCTATGCTCAACGGTTTCGAAAAAGAACTCTTGTCATTTGCTGAAAATTGATTTGATCTAGTTCTGTATTAAAAAACGATGATTGGACCAACTTTCAGCTACAAAATAAACACAAAGATAACCCGCTTCCGCCTGGAGATTTTGCAGAAAAGGCCATTCAAGCTCGGTTGAAGATGATGATACCTTATATAGGAAAATGGCCACAGGCTATAGCGATTATGTCTCTACCTCCAAACGTTCCCAATGCTCTCGCAACCCTGTTGACTATGGTAGATGATATATGTTACTATGCAGGGGATAGATCTGTAGATGTAAGTATAATTTGCTATTCCATTTTGATCATATTGTTACAATAACAGACCTGGCGAAGACAGTATCAAATAATACATTGTGCGCCTTCTTTTGGTAACTTTGTATTCTTTGACATTACCAAGTATACTCTCCTTAATGACTGAAGCCTATAACTCGACAAGAAGTCTTTGGAGTGCTGACAGATAATAGGTTCTCAGAAACTACACTCAGGTAACCAAGTAGGTTGCCTCAGTACTCGCCACACATTAGGAATTTGACATCGAGCTTTTTCGGTGAAGTTATGACTCAAGTCATCCACATATAAAACCTGTTTGGTATATAATGTATCGGATGCTGGACACTGTACAGATACAACGCAGCTAACCGCGCTTAAACACAGTCCGACCTGTGGCTGCTTCTTACTGAAGCGCTCGTGTCGACAGCTCGAGTTATATTGGTGCTCAATTTGCTGAATTGCTGTGCGCACTGTGAACAAAATTGATTGATTCGTGTATTTTCGGATAATCTATAACAATAATCAACAAAATACCGTATTTTCGGATAATCTATAGCAATATACCAACAAAACTACAAATTATTTTACTTCATTCACAATTATTCCAGTAGCTTTCAACAACACTCATAAGTTCTAACAGTTGTATTTGTTACTATTTGCTCATCCTGTTGTCATTCTATTTCTTTTGCTTCTCTTTAAACATGACTATTGTCTGAGTGACCGAGCTGATAGAATAACCGACTGACGTACTTTGTTACCAAGGCAAAGGTCTTAGAGTCGACGAATAGAATAGAAGACGAATTAAATCATTCATTGAAATGAATTGAAAGACACAGAAACCTTATAGGGAATAGTTTTAGGAGATATTTTTTTAAATTCAAAGTGTAGCGCCATCTATGAGAATTTGACACACTTGTTCCTCTATTTAGACTTATATGCTTATAAAGAAAGTCTGAAAAGTTCCGGAACCCCGCGATAATTTGTGAACTAATAAGGGCATGAAAAAACTAAGCCCCGAGATTGATAGGAGTTTTCCACAGCTATTCAATGGCGTCCTTTGGTTTGGCTTTGACCATGACCTTCAACTCATTTGAAGATCAAGTCGATTTTTTTTAAATGGCACTTGCCCATTTTTGACCCCGTAAATGAAAAGTGAGGAAAATTTTACGTTCAAAGATGGTCATGACCATTCTTGAATTTTGACCTTAGGAGGTCATGGTCAAGGTCAAGCCCAGGTACGGTGATGAAACTTGAAAACCACTAGTCGTATAGAGAAACCACTGAGACATTGTTTTCATGATTTTCGCTCGGATATCCAATGGTGACCCTGGTTCTGACCTTTAATATGTTGAGATCATGTGAAGGTCAAGTCGATTTTTGGAGCCAGGGAACAACCCTGAAAGGACCATGCAGTCAGTTTATCTAGGATTATACAGATTTCTGAATTATCAAGAAATTAAGGTAAACTTGTATTTGACCTTGATGCTTAAGTTCAAGGTCAAGTACCAGAAATAGTTAAGGTTAAGTTATTCGAACATAAGGATTTCTCTCTTCTCCATATTCGCGGTCAAAGGGTCCCATTAAAAGAGATGCCCTTCAAATGACCTTGACAGACAATCATAGCCAAAGTCACCATTGTATATCCGGTAAAAATCATGGAAATAATTTCTCGGTAGTTTCTCTATACTACTACTGGCTTTCAAGATATATTACTGTACCTGGGTGTGATCTTTAACATGACCTCCTAACCTCGGAATGTAAGAATGGACAAGACCATATTTGCGGGGTTTCAGTTGAAAAAATCGGACTGACCTTCAAATGACCTTGTACGTCAGGTCAATATCAAATTCAAGGACACCATAGGATAGCTGGGGGCAAACTCATATCAAACGCGGGGTATCGTTTTTTCGTACCATTTTTAGTTCACAAATTATCGTGGGGTTTCGGACTTTTCAAACACTCTGTATATGCAGCGCCATTTATGAGACACTAAGCTTTTCAAATTATATATAGTAAATAGCAAAAAGGTTGTAACAAATTCTCATAGACGGTATATTTCATCTTAGATATTTTTTTAGGTGCGAGAACATAACATTTGGTTGGCTATCTTTATAATAGTTATTTGATATATTAATGTTGTTTTCATCATCCATACGTGATGGTTCACCAACATCATAACTCTATCACATGTATAGGGTGGCAAAAACTGGCATGGATGGCGTATTGCTCCGAGACAATTTTTTTCAACTATTGCTTACGGTTAACTGACGAGGGATGATTATGATACGAATGTAAATTAATATCTATGGTAAACCCAGCATAACGCTAATGTCGAAAACTATTTGTGGAAAAAACTTTGGACCCTTGGACGCTATTGTTCTGTGGGTTGAGATCTTAATACATTTTAAAGAAATTAGCCGAAAGCTATTATCAATGAGGTTAACTCGAGGTCTTTTATTAAAATATATCTTGTTTTAGTTTAATTGGTACCTGAGAAGGATAGGAATAGCAGGAGTGTATAAGGCATCAGAATTATACATGATTCAGGATAAATCTAACGAATTCAAAGACACTTGGAGTTTCCTGAATAGAAGATTGGTAGAAGCTGTACAATTACATGATATCATAAGTAAATCGGAAGGTACAAGTCAGGCGGCTAAAGACACCATACAGTCAGTATTCATCACAGTAAGTAAATTCATTTATATGTCTTCACTTTTACATATACAACAAAATATGATAATAGTGTATTTAACTTCCCACGCCACTGGCGAGGAAATATTGTAATTGCGAAAAATTTCGAAAATAAGGTACTGTTTTACTTCCCACGCCTACTGACGAGGAAGTATTGTGATCGCGGATGTTATACGACATGTTCATCACTCATTTTTGTCGGTCTGACTGTCCGATAATCCTTGGCCCGTCTATAACTTAGAAAATACCCCTCGGATGTGGATGAAATCTTTACACAAGGCCACAGCTATGCCAAGGACGAAAAGGTTTTGTAGTTTTTGAAAATTGGCAGAAAAATACCAAGAAACGAACTCTGTGGAAGAGGTGGGTATCTTTTTTTTAACGTTGGTATATTTATACGCCTCCAACCCCAGTAGTTTTACGCACCTATTAGATATATTTCAGTCGTCATAGATGTCCCCTTACATTTACCCTTAAAACTTAGAAGTGTCTCCAACAGTCGCGTGTCGATATGCGCAACGTTGTCCGGCTGATGGTCGTGTGTCGCAGTCTCTTCCGTGCAGCTGTGGGCTGTATGCTTGAAAAGTCAATATCGTCAATCAGTGGTGTTGTGTAAGGCTCGAAACAAATGCCTTAGTAAAATAAATATTAACAAAATGAAAGAATCATTCTAAAAGATGTAACAATAAATGTGGGTGTGCACCTAGATTATTCACTCAGGTTCTCGGAGCATGTCACATCTGTGTTGAAAAGAGGACACATTATTCTTAAAATCTCATATAATATAGTGGACGTATCCTCACACAACAATCGAAGAAAATTCTGGTGGAGGCTTAAGTGTCGTCACTTGTTACTTATGCAGATGCACTGTTCATGCCATTTTTAAGCAATCGCGATGAAGACATTACAAAAACCTCAAAATTCACGCGTGAGTTTTATCACGGGTGCTAGCAGGCGAGATCATGTTTCTCAACACTACTCCAGCCTACAACTGTTAAGAATGCAATATAGGGGGATCATGCATTCAATTTGTTTCATAATGCACAAACTCCTACTTAACTGTATAACAAAATTCGTTACAGAACAGACATCTACTCCTAGGTTCTGTACCGATTTCATACAGGAGTTCGTCTATGAATTTGTTGTTTAAAAAAAGCGAAGATGTATTTTCTATTGGCTGATTGTATAATATGAAACATACTAAATTCAACTCCATTTTTTGTGTATACAACAGTTTTTCATTTCTGATATTCCTCAACTCTTTTTGGAGTAAGTTTTTTTAAGGTATCACGATAAGGTCTAGGTGAAGATATATTGTATTTTCTTTCGGTTGATTTGAACAGCGAATCTTTCTATACGGTAGTAAGATCCGAATTCTGCCGTTTGATAGGAAAGCAGCTAGAATTTGTTAACTTCTGTGTAATTTTTTTGGGTAATTGGCAATAAAAACCAATATCATCCAAGCGGGATTAGTCATGCGTGGCCGCAGAATTTTCAGCGGAAGGAGGAGATTCATTTAATTTTACACACACGTACGTAGTTCGTTTTTTCTCAGAAGTCTAAGTTGTGCTGAACTTACTCTTTTAACTGATGACGGCGTGGCGTGGGAAGTTTAGAGTCAACCTACTTGATGCTCATTTTTCTTTCTGTAATAACAACTTGGAATAAAATAATAGAGACATGAACCGATTTTGGTGTATATTTTATTTTGCTTTCAGATTCATTATATCAACTTCAATTCACTATTTTTTTGCAGGCACGAAATATAGTAGGCTTGAACTGGAATAGATAGTATTACTAGTAAAATTACAATACTTTGTAAATATTACCCAAAACATTGAAAATAAAACAAGGCTTGTTTAACATTCTCGTATTTTATTTATATCACAAATTCGCAATGTAAATAAAGTTTTACTTTCGATTCTAAAAATTTCATACAATATTTGTGAATATCGTTTCATTTTTCATGACTTAATAGGACGTTATTACTTTGCTAATAACATTCTCTTGCGCAATAAATATTTTATTCTTAACATACTATAGACACAACTAAATATAAAAAACAGGATAAAAACAATTTAAAAACATGTATTTACAAAGTCATGTACGTAAAACAGCTATCTTGATCGTATGAAAAAAAATTCATGGCCACAAGACTAGACTACACAAAAATGGAAAAGGAAACTCTCAGTCGAAATCATGTACTGAACAGTGAAATATTGTCTTCATTGCTACGCTTGAGAACATGAATCTGATTCTGTACATAATATGCTTATTGCAGCAATGGAAACAATATTTTATAAAAGTTTATTCACAAGTTCATGTAACAAGTTCTTAACATTGAACAAGTTCTGCGTTTATATCGACAGTATTAGACTTCTGAAGCTAAAATATACCAAAAGTAATGGCAAGGTTATTACGTTAAAAATCTTTGTCAAAAAAAATCGACAAAAGTTGTCCTCTAAATAACCTTGAAGGCGATGACCGAAGTCAAATACAAGGTCACAATTTTACTCCTTGTTCAAATTTAGTTTAGAGCTGACCTTGATCTTTTTAAAAAATTCCTGGAAAAATACAGAGCTGTTCCGTTACTTTTGATATACACATAACTAGCTCAACCCTAGCTTAGGATACAAAAAAATTGAGAAAACAATCGATCCATGATTAATGATAAAAATTGTGCTATGACCATCTCAGTAGATTGGACATATTCAAAAGTTGAGCTAGAAAAACATAAATGACCAAAGCAAGTTTATTGCAATATATTTAGAATATAATATAAAAAAATGTTATATCTAATATATAAAATAAAAACACTCAAGTACCTACATAATAAATACACATGTATTTATTATGAATACATCCATGGTCCAATAATCAGATAGATTGACTTCTTTAAGATAAAGATTTATCGTTTTTAAATATTAAGTGACATGATACGGCCTTACAATAAAGTCTACTTTTATGTAAGCTGATGTTTTAAACAGTTATAATCTGGTACCACGGTCTTTGTTTTTTGATTGAATTAAAAGAAGCCGTTATAAATGCATTTGTTGATCATTTTTTCTCTAACAAGCATCAACGATATCACAGGGGAAGGCTCTAGGATGAATTTGGTCTGAGAACAATCATTTTGATTTAGAAAGTAACTCGACACGCAATTTATCCAACATTTCATACATATAAAAGGAACATGTAACATCAGGTCATAGAATTTTAAACATAAACATGTTCAGGAAGTTGTGTCGCGAGTCAATTTATTAAAAAGCGTCGTTGAGGGGATTTTTCAAGAAATGAAACGTTGTTTGCATTCACAAGCACTCAGAAGCTCAAGCTCAACACTTTCTAGAGCATGATTTCGATCAGCTGGTTAATGCCATCTACAGTATTTGTCGCAATACTTCATTGCATCAAACATGACAGCAAATGATTATCAAGTTAACACTCAAAATACCCCATGACAACTGACACAATTTTGACAAATCCATGGTCTGAGTCGTATTTCGTTGAGAACTTTTGTACGCTGAGCATTAACACTTTCTAAATAGGTTTTTAATATCAGTGATTTAAAACCGTGATGTGATCACGAATAAGGATGAGATTAAGGGTATACTCATATGCTGAGAAATATAGCGCGATGAAATCGCATGGAGCCAACTACCAAAGCCTAGGCCAAGTTCATAGTAGTCTTACAGTGATATACGATTTTCGACCTTAGTGGCTACGGCGCATGCGCATTTCACGCACATTCAAACGTTAACGCCGTGATCCCATGATGCCATTCGCCGTTACCGGGAAGCGCTTAGTTCCCAACGTCGCCATCACGTCACTCTTTTCCAGGGTTCGTAAAATATCAACCATCATTATTCGAGTTGGAGACGGGTGCCGTACAGGGTTGCCAGATGGGTCGAATAGGGTCCAAGCATATTATATATTACACCATATTCAAATGGTATTTATGCTTCTATATTGTCTTAAGATCCTGCACTGATCCACACTAGGTGTTATCGAGAGCAGCTGTTTTGTCGAGGCCTAATTGAATAAAGCTATAAGACTTGAAATTGTTCATTGGCGTTGGTTAGTTTTCCACAGTTAAACACGAAATCAGATATGTTTTCATTTCCCCCAGAAAATTATTCCCCTCAAAGGTACCGATCTGCTCAAAGTTGGGGAAAGTCACCCAATATACAAGAAACAGTGACTGATATTATTGGGATATATAGGTGTTAAAATTTTCAACGTTTCGATGTTTTTTCTTCGCCTTCTTCAGGGCCATCGAATTAGACACAAAACACGTCTCAAGGAATAACAAAAACCCTTTAGGTCGAATATGAAAAACAAGTTTATGAAACAAAAAATGATGCCAGTGTATAATGCTGCTGAGTTGGTTTGATGCATCATTATAGTCTCAACTCACATCACTGTTTTTGTTTCTTAATGTTATATTCATTAACTTGTTTTTCATAGTTGATCTAAGTGATGATTGTTATCCCTTGGGACATGTTTTTGTCTCACTTGATAGAACTAAAGAAGGAAAAACATAACACGTTAGCAATCTGGAAAATAACTTTTCAACACTCATATACTTCAAGAATCCGAGGAAATTAAAAATACATATCACCCAATATGGCGACGCTTTTAACACGTCTTCTCGCTGTTCCGTTTTTAACCGCGTGAAACTGCCAAGCAACAATTTCAAATCTTATAGCTTTATTCAACTATGCCATGACAATACAAGGATAAAAAGACAATATAAGAACGTAAATACCATTTGAATATGTATGCTTTATATTATTCGGCCCATTTGGCAAGCCTGTACGGCACCTATCAGGCTTGATTCACCTAAATAAACGTCAAAACGTAAAGAATATTGTAAATGAACTGACGATCACTGAAAATGAACCTGATGGCACGGTAATCTTATTTCAAAATTCCCTAGTTCGACTGGACTAAGAAATTGTCTAACTCTGAATCGAGAACGGATAGTTCGACTCTGACTGGTAGATTCAAACGGCTTGACGTAACAGCTTCTATCTAAGAGAGTGAATGGGCATCTTAGATCCCAGTTTTCTTGGTACTCTCAAGAGCTCTGAATAGGTGCTCACCCTGTATCTTCAGTACCAACACATAGGAGGAAGTTAAACGCGGCAATTCTTTGCTTTTGGGGATATACCTAAGAGGGGCGTTTTATATTGTGCCTGAGACGATCCTAATTAGGATCTCGTTTCTACAAATGGTACTATAAATTGAGTTCCTGATGCAATTGAGCAACCCTATTTAGAGCATCCAGCAGATATTCAATGGCAACTGAGGACCTGATTAAATTGTATGGTTCTAATAAATTCCAAAAACAATTCAACAGAAAACAATTAGTAAAACAATCATCTGGCAGGCCATTGGGCAGATAATAATCAATGAAAATTATAATCGTTGTTGCAAGGACAATGTACTGAGCTCGAAAAGGTAGGTGAGAAATGCTGCCAAAAATGGAGGCACTTTGAAAGAATATATAATAATATATATAAGCAGGTGGAGCAGTGTGTAAAATAGAAGATAAACCATACTTTTTTGACCTTATCGATAGTGAGCTTTGTACAAAAGATGCCAACAATCGTTAAATGCTTCGTAACTCATCAGACGATCAAGAGGTTTGTTGCATTAGCGACAGGAGCAACAAAATACCGATCACTCAAAGGCGTCATCTGAAAGAATTAAGAGAATCCTCCAGGAAGAGGGAGAGAGAAGAGGTGGACAAGCTCCACCCACTTAAGGAAACAGGTGGGTTGAACAGCCCCCTTAAAACAATCTTAAAATCAAGGAGACCCAAAAAAGTCAAGAACACGGACAATAAAAAAAAGGAAGAGATGCAAGAAGATAAAAAAACAGAAATAAACAAGTTGCAAGAATACTCGTCTAAACATATTTAGAACAAAGTACCGAGCAAAATTAGAGATTTTTAGGTATTACTAAAACTTTCAACGTAAATGTGGAAATAGTGAAAATGGTTAATCAACTCGTAACTCGATAAATTCCATTTCTTCTGAATCTGCATTTTGGTTGGTACATAGTACCCATGGAAATACAGCGAAATTCCCCTTCGCGGACACCATTAAACGGACTCATATAATTTACATTGCATTAACTAGCTCTTAAGCGAGGATTCTCCTGAACGGACGCGGACATGAGAAAATGTTTTTATAACCGAACAAAAACAAAACAGTTGACAGTATCGCTATTGCATTTCTCAATCGTGCCGCGCGCCATCTTTGCTGGGACATTCTCGAGTAAACCTTAGACCGACTTTCCGTTGTTATTTTTTGGGTTCACGCTTTCGATTTAAATTTTCATTCAGTATTAGTCTGACGTCTATGCGAACAAGACACTGTGGGCGACACATTCATGGCTCCAAATTATGACAGGGTGGTTGCAAGAGCTAGATTGAAAAAATGGCTAAACACTTTCTTATTTTTAAACAATGCGGGATCTCATCCAAAAGACATTCACTTAAATAATATAAACATCTTATTTTGCCCTCAAATTGTACATCAGATTGTCAACCACTTGACTACGCAAGTTTGAAAACTTATTACCGAAGTCTAATACTCAAACACCCACTAGTAAACGGTGAAGAACTGCTTGAGACCAAGTAACCAAAGAAACAGTGCAAAATTGCTTCGGCAAAGCAGGATTTAAGCATGAGAATATGCAAAATAAAGAACAATTACATGAGGCTGATACACCTGAACCAGATGACTTACCTCATATGGTTTGTTTGTACAGTGGTCAGTGACAGTGTCTGGGATCCGGCATTGTAAATTATGTCTATATAGTATAGTATATATGTACTTTCAGAAATCCTCAAAAATAAGAATTTATTCAACTTGACTGTTAATGAAAACTGTTATGATTTTTTGAACCTAGGTGAAAGATCCAGATTCAGGCCAAGAAATTAGAAATCCAGTTGAAATACAAGAACTTTCCATAGATTCTGATGTCAATGAGGTGCCAGTACCAACAGAAGTTATTCTGAATCATCTAAAATCAGGGAGATCCAGTGTCTTTGGAGCGTCTTTCTGAATTATAAATAAGGAAGACACCATTTTAAAGAAAAAGAGGAGACAAACAACAATATATCGTCGCTGATCTGACAAATGGGCGTAAGCGACACAATCTCTAAATAGGAGATAAACTACTGAGAAACTCTCGAGGGGTATACCTATGTTCTGACAAATGAACGTAGCTCCATCGCTCATACCACGGAGTATACATCATAGTCAGTAAGGACGGAAGCGACATCAATGGAAGATAGGGAATCTGGCTAAGAGGCGTAAATCCATAAATGGACATACGCCTGTTCGTCACATCATCTATTGCGCTTTAGTGTCGCTTTCGCCCGTAGTATGTAACTGTGATAACCATAGCCACCTATATCTAACGTAGTTCTAGGTGGCTTTGGTGATAACCGATACTGTTGCGCCATCTCCTGCATGTTTACGGGTTTTATAGAACGTCTAGGTATCCCCAGTTATCATAACAGAAACAAAAAGCCTTCAGTTACAGAGGGAGTTCGTTGCGCGTCATGTTACAGCTCACAATATTAAAAGAAAGCGAACAAGCAACATTGTTTCACGTAGAACAAGAACATTTACTTATCGTCTTTCGAATGCAAATACATCAACAACTGTTTGTAAAACTACGTTTTTAAACACGCTCGGAATTTCTGAAAAAACCATGCGGACGGCGCTAAATAAATTAAATGATGAAGGGATAGTACGTCCTGATGCACGTGGTGATCGACACGCCAGTTTGCGTGAAAAAGATAGCGCTACTCGGTCTGCTGTATTAGCCCATATTCAACTATTTCCTCGGATGGAATCACACTTTTGCAGACAGTCCACCACCAGGGAGTATTTGCACCCAGATCTGACTATTGAGAAAATGTATTATTTTTACGTGCAAGAGGGACGTCAGCCACAGTGTAGTTATCACACCTATCGAAGGGTATTCAAGTCATTGAATCTTTCTTTCCATCACCCAAAGAAAGACCAGTGTAGCCTTTGTTCGTCCTATAAAGAAGGCAGCACGGAAACGAAGGCCAAACTCGAAGATTCTTTTGCTGCACACATTGCAGAGAAGGACTCTGCGCGAAAGAAGAAAAAAGATGCTAAAGAATCATCACAAGAAAACCCTGAAGTAATAGCTAGTGCTGTATTCGACCTGCAACAGGTAATTTCGCTTCCAAGAAGCAATGAAAGTGGAATTTTTTATAGCCGTCGTCTATCAGTGTTCAACTTTACGATTTACAACCTAGGAAATAAAAACTGCTTGTGTTATCTTTGGAACGAAATTAATAGTAAACGAGGGTCCAACGAAATATCAACATGCGTGGCAAACTCCCTTATTCAGCTAGATACCCAGGGAATAAAAGAAGTGAGACTATTTGCAGATGGTTGTGGTGGTCAAAATAAGAACACAATTGTTTTAGCCATGTTGCTGCACGCCATAACCAATACCAAAAACATTAAAAAAATATCATTATCTTTCTTCGAAACAAATCACGGCCAAAGCGAGGGCGACTCTGCCCACAGTTCTATTTCGACAGCTTTAGCCTTAGCAGGAGATGTCTTTATTCCTGCTCAGCTTCCTCCTATTCTTAAATTGGCAAGACGGAATTCTCCATACACTGTCACCCCTATGGATAATGCTGACTTTCTGGATTACAAGTTTGTGGCTGAACAACCCCGCATTCGACAACTGAGAAAATTTGACACGGGGGAAAATGTTAATTTCACCGCAATCAAGGAAGTTATGGTAAAGAAAGATGTTCCACATCTTGCTGATCAGTATAACACATTATCTCTGAAAAGAAACACTCTTGAAGTCCTGAAACAGCCGGTACGTAGACTTAATAATGGTCCAATTAAATTAGACAGCCTGAAATACGAAAACCTTGTTGAGCTATGTACTGGACCTACACCCATAGTGCGAGATCTAACGTTTCAACAATACTTCAAGAACCTCCCGAATCATTAAACACCTCAGTTTTTTATAATTTGCATACATCCTCTGTTTAATTTCTATATTTTGAAGTTTTCTTTGTTTAAATAAAAATTTCGTTAATGATAGGAACCGTTGTGTATGTTTAAAATTACTAATGAAAAAGGGCGTAAGTGATATACCTCTGTAAAGTAACTCTGACGAACGGGCGTATGTCCAAAGTGGCCATTTTGTAGGACAATATCGTGCGAGCTTTGCAATCACGTTATGACAGATTGAAAGTGTCCCTGATGATTCACTTTGATACAAAATTGTAAAAAAATATCGTTGCTAGTTACAGAATCATCAACTCATCTAAGATACATATTTTCCTAAAATCGCTCTACTGTAAAATTATGTTATTGGCGCTTACGTCCATTTGTCAGAACAGCGACGATATATAAAGTGACTTTTTATTCCATTGTTTTGTATTATTACAAATATTATGTATGTACATAAATATTATATTATACATACATATGTACATACTTTGTATATATCTAAAGGTGACAAACCTTTTTTTCTCAAGTTTAAAGCTTTTTGTTTATTTTAAAAGCATTTACATAATACATATATGTTTTAAATGTCCCAGTTTCTTTAATATATTCAGGTTTCATTAAAAAACACGATTTTTGTTATATTTCTTTCATACAAACGAACACTTGAAGTCGGTCCCGTTGATGTCCGCCCAAAGGTGATTTCACTGTACTTGTACATCAGAATGAATCAAATTATTGTATTTTCATCATAACCTAAAATTGTGATTTCTTATCGCATTTTTCACTTTCATTCTCCGGTTTTTTGTTATGACGTCACAGCATTGACTAGCTTTAACCAAACTTACCAGGTTAAATTAATGAAAGGACGCATATTGAAAATATTTTTAATGAATTCATTATTATTAGGCGTCCTTTTTTCTATGTCAGTATATAATACATAATAATTAAATATATTATTCATTCATTTATTTATACACTACTCAACAGCAACAGCTGTTTACAGAGTAATAACGTGTACTGAATTTATTGGAAATTTTTCTTTGGAAGGTGAAAATAAAAATGCTTTTCATTTATTACCAACTAACTCTTGGACAAACGAGCGGAGGGTTGTCCTCAGCATTCTTCTGCCCGTAATAATAGCCTGCTAATGCATACTCCAGATTAGCGTTATGAATCAACTGCTGAGTGCCAATAAAACGATAAAAGCGCGCTTTAACTAAAAACATCAACTTTAGAAATATCGTCCATCTTCCTGCAAATAATCTATCAATGAATTAGGCAAGGGCAGTTTCTCGATATCGTTTATGATAACGCACTGCCTGATGACAAACCTGGAGAGATACTTGAGCGTTGGTACCTTGTCGTACCTGGAGACGGGCAAAGTGAGTCGTACGGGGAAATTAGGCACCAGCTGATTACTTGTCGTTGTGCCAGTGTAGCAGTAGACGCCATTCTTGGACACCTCGATGGCGTGTTCGATGAGATCAGCGACGCTGTTGTAGCCAATTTGGTTGGCTAGGCCGTACCCGCTTGAGGTCACGTTGATGCGGGTGTGCATGATACGACCAGTACTGCGGAAGCTCAGAGAAAAGAGATACCTGCAAATTAGAATTAATTTATTTTACAAGCCTCTTTTTACTCCCCACGCCTACGGGCGAGGAAATATTGTAATTGGATTTTAGATGACATGTACATCACGAAAAACCATGTCACTCATTTCCGTCGGTCTGTTCGCTTATCTTATAACCGCCTATAATTGGAGAAGTACAGCTCGGATTTCGATGACATTTTTATACAATATCACTTCTATGCCAAGGACGCTAAAGCGACATAGTTTTTGGAAATCCGTGCAGTGGCGGCAGAGAAAAAAGACGAAAAAGAATGAAAATCGTTCAAACTTCGATTTTGTACGTTTCGGAGAATTCTGATCATTTAAAAAAAAATGAGGTAAAAAACTTGGGGGTTATCTGAGTTTTTTGATGTAAGTACATTTATACGCTTCCAACCTTGGTAATTCTACGCACCTATTAGACATATTCCACACATCATAGACTTCTCCGTACGTTAGCCCTTAAAACTTAGGGCCGTATCGTCAGTAGTTCCTACAATATTGTAGGACGCCTTTACGGCCTCCTTGATTTTGATAGTCTTTTCTCTCCTTCAGAAAGGTAGGAATATTTCTTGATCTCTACTGTTGCGTCAGCGCTCTCCTATTGTGTGTTTATGTTTTCTTTTTGAATTGTAGGAAATTTCGGGCTATATAATAATGATATACATCAAAAACATGAACAATTTGATGCAAATAGATAGTAACCTAACCTCAAAATAGAGCGCTGACTCGGAACAGTAGAAAACTATGAAAATCAAAAAGGCCATAAAGGCGTCCTGCAATTGTAGAAACGACTGACGATATGGTCCTAGGTCATTATTCTCAGCAGACGGATCGGGTACCTATCGGCCGCGTATTTCTGCCGCCTAGGTCTGACTGCGATGCCACGTTTGACAGGGTCAAGTATCGGGAAGAGATGACGTTTCCAGATGCACTACCGGTGGAGGATGGAAATAATGTCTAAGGACTGATTTTTTTCATAGAACTTTTACGTATCGACCAATTACTAATTTCAGCTTACTTCCTGCATATCTTAAACAATTACCAGCACGCAAATTTAGGGTAGCGCTTAACCAATATTTGTAAGACATACACGTGTAAATCATTAGCGTAGCACAACAGTCTAACAAGTAGGATACGTTTTTAGTATAAAGATAGGGTTGTTTATTCCATTTCTATTATTTAGGATCTATTATTTTAAAATTTTCCAGTGTACTACATCTACATAAGGTTAGGTTTAAGAGTAACTTTAGCTAAATCTTGCCTTTTTTAGATAATGGTAATAAAGACGATTATTGGTATTATTAAATTTATGGACCTGTTTGACTGACTTTCTCGGAGGGTCTAGTTTGTGCTGAGCATATATCATTTATGAACTGATAACGGCGTTGCGTGGAAAGCGCAGAGTCAACTTATTTGACGCCTTTTTTTAATAATTGGTTAATTCTTAATAAAACTAAGACTTCTGCTATGTTTTTTCGAACAACTCACTGTACAGCAATTTTGCTAAATTCAATTCGTTTTAACGGTACAACAATTACAGTGTCTGACAATACTAGATTTCTTTTTCTTGAATTAGACAGTAAGTTGCCTCAGGTGGGTCAACCATATAAATTATTTAAGAAATAAGCTTAAAAAGGTATAATATTCTATAAGAATTATTGCTAAATATTTGGGATAGAAAAACTTTGAAAGTCGTATATCATTCAAATTTTGAATCTAGATTAAGGTATGGAATTTAGTTATTCTGAAACAGTAGTGACTGATGAAATTTTTGTAATACAAAATAAAACTTTGAGTAGTGTAAGTTAGACGTTAAGTGAATCATGTAGAAGAAAGTTCAAGAAGTTCGGTATTTTTACAGTTTTTCCAGCGTTTATTCAAGAGAGCCTTATATATCTATTTAAAAAATAAGCGATTGTTTACCATACTAGAATTGTTTAGCTATATTTATCCTAAGCATAGATTAGCGTTATTAGACAAAGGACTTCTTTACAATCGTCTATAACTGTTTAACCATTTACCAGCAGGTGTAAAAAAGTAAGTGCATTAAAAAGAAAACATTATACAAAATATTAATAAATCTAGAACCATATAAAATTAATGGCATTTTCAAGACAGATTTGAATAATATGCTTTAGTGTAAGAATTTATTGTTAGTTTTGTTTAGTTGAGTGTTTTAAAGTTTTTGTATAGCATTTTGTATTTGCAAATAAAGATTGTTATTATTTTAACATTAGAAATTTAAAATTTTAGGTGCAACTTTTTTGCAAACTGACATTTTTCACGTTTTCAATTTCTTTTATTTTTTTTTAATCATAAAACTCCAGATATTTTAAGGCGCCCGCCCCGGTTTCTAAGACCCTTTTATGCTATTTGCATTTATCGGTAAAGTCGTACGTGCAAGTGATTTTCTACCTTCACAGTCCAAAATAACCAACTGCTTTTTATTATTTTATAGTTACAGATACCTACCGGGTGTTTCAAATTCGACAGTCACCATCCGGATCCCGGTAACGGAAAGAGATACGCTTAAATGGGGCAAACTTTCGTATTTATGTAACAGATAATATGCCGCTCAGAAAGTTTAGAAATTCAAAGTACTTTCGAAGAGAGACGACAAAAAAACAGAATTTTTCCAAAATAGTTTTAATTTTTTCCTGACCTTACTTGTAGTGGGATTTCAAAATAGATTGCATGTTGTTCAGGCTACTTTTCTCCTGTACAAGATAGCGTAGTCAAATTTTCAATTTGAGATTTCTTATTTCTGCTTCCATCACCAACTTTTTTTTATATGACTATATTGGAATTTTGTAGATTTAAATGGATTTTCCAATTCAGCAATGTATTTCCTTAGTTAAAATAAAAGTTATGGTGAAACCTGAACTCAACAATGAAAATAAATAAATATAAATAAGCAGAGGTACGATCAAAACGTTTTCAGATATTTTGTAGGTAAAGCCTGACATTCCTCTGTACAATGTTTACTGCTCGATTTATTTCTCTTCTCCCCAGTCTTCCAAACTCTGTTACTATGCTCAGCTTGTTATTTCCATATAATTTTCATTCGAACAACAAATTCATGGCCAACTAAGGTGAAACATCACTGAATTTAGGACTGAAATTTACATTTAAATGTAAAACAAATATATATTGTTGATGGAAGCCGAAAGAAAATTTGACTATGCGATCCTGTAAAGCAGGGTTTTCCAACCATTTTTGTTTTGTTGAGGCTCCCCGGACTATAAATGATATTTTGATGCCCCCCTTTACTTTTTCAATAAATACAAAAAAACGCACATTATATAGGTACAAAGACTTTTATTTTAGTTCTAATAATCAAACTTTAAAAGTTTAAATAAACTAATAAATGTTTTTTATCGAAAAACTTGAATAAAATAAAAGTAGGTACTAATGAGACACTCGAGATTGCATGTTCTGTACCAATTGGTTGATTCTAGGTTATGTTTTTGCCAGAGCTATCATCAGGTCGCTATCGACATCAAGACGATTTCACTGTTTAGTTTTAATTAAAACTAGAGCAGAAAGCCTGTCTCACATAAGTAGGTTGAAGAAAAAGGAACTAGTATTCGTAAAGCAAGAGAGGCAAGTGCCGAATTAACAGGCAATCTTTTGATCCAAAATTTCTCCAATGTTAAAAGATGGAAGACATCTTTCATGGACGAATCAGCCTTCATTTCTAGAAATTCTTCCTGAACTTCTTCTGGTAATTGTGACACATCGACAACAAATGGATTTCTTGTCATGCGCCATATTGGTGACTCTGAATTGATGTCTCGATAGTATCG